TATATATATATATATATATATATATTGATCTGAGATATCAATTAGGATGCTCGGTTCTTTCATTCGTATTTAAGTTTGGCCTATGTCGCTTACAACTATATCGTTTTCTTGCATCTTTAGTTAATGCGGTAGGCTCTGAGATTGAGACTATTGTTGTCCCGTATGAGGAATTGCAACAAGTGAATGCCATCGATAATCGGGTACAACATACAACAATACATTTGTTTTCAATAAATAATTTTTTGTTCGTTAATTTTTATTACAATACCTACTTTTAAAACTTGTATAGGAAGTAAAAGATCAACCGATCGAACAGCTCGAAGGTCATACCGTTGCTATTCCACATGAACAAGTAAGGTAATTAGAAGTACTTTTTATTGGTTCTCAATTACCTAAATAAAATTACCTCGTATATATCGAATAAACTGCATATAATTAATTTATATGTATTAATTCCCGCGGTGTCTTTAGTAGATCAAACGCGAACAACAATGGTGGCAACCGCCCTTATAGAGCGTTGAGAATGTCAGCCGCCGAGACTACTCCACGCAAGATTCTTCCAAATAGGCGACGACAAACATATGCTTCACTCAGAATGAGAGCTGATAATCATCCTGATTGTGCTACGTGAGAAAAGATATAAATAAGATTTACTTGTTTCTTACATGTTTGTAAATCTTTTATGTCTTTTCCTATTCCTAAAAGTCGATAAAGTTGATTGTTTAGATTATTCGTTCGATATAGTTCAAATGATTGCTCGTTTGAATATCGATTCGAGTAATTGTCCTATTTTAGGTGAGCTCCAATTGTTCTATTTGAGCGCAAGTTCTACACTAATATCGTACAATTTTTGCGCCAACTTTTGAATTTAATTTCGAACTATATATATATATCAAAATTTCCAACTTTGAATTTTGAGTAAATGGTCACACATTGAAAGGGAATTCTATGGATATAACTTTATCTTATTAATCTTACTTTCAAATACACATAATATTTAAAATAATTATTTTTATTTTTATTATATAAGCGGCATCCAATATCCAAATTCTAATGCAAAAGAAATCAGAAAAAAATTAAATTATAAATTATAAAAAAATAAAAAAATCCAAAATTGAGAATTTACGTAATATGAATATTTATATAATCAATGACTTACCATTAATTAAAATTAATTTGAATTATTAAGAGCACTTTCCGAAGCTTACTCCAGATTTGGATTTCTTATTGGGCCCGACATTTATCATGATGGGCTTAATCAAGTGCGAAAATGGGTTCACTCGAGGCCCGAATATTATTCCTAATTTCACACGGGCCCAATTAATTTCTTTTCGTTGAATTTTCTAGGTTCTTAAATTTAATGCAAAAAGAATAGAAAAATAAAAGGAAATAAAAAACCGCGTATGTAAGAATATTTCTCTCTCTATCTCTCTCTCTCTCTCTCTCCTCACACAGAAAAATAACGCAGAAGAACAAAATGGGGGCAGGGCAAGTAATGAAGAGAATTCCACTCATCAAATTTCCTCAAAGGCATCTGAAGCCATCCGGTATTAATTCTTATTTCGACTCAAATCTCTTGATTTTTTTTTTTGTTATTAATTTTTTTCTCGATGGATTTTTTAATTTATTTTTTGGTGGATGAAATTTCCTTAATCGGATAATCAATTCCTCGCTGTAACAATTTGTTTTTTTTATTTTTCCAAATAATTGATTTCGTCGATGATGCGATGCATTACGCCATGTTTGAAGTATTTTGATTCCTCTAACTCTGATTTTGTATACGAGTTGAATTTTCGTTTCTACCTTCGGAAATAATTCTGGCTTAATTTTTAACTTTGCCCAATTTTAGTGGTTACTAGAATTAAAGATGCATTTTTTTTTTTTGATTTAATTTAATTTTATTGTTGAAGAAAAGCTGAATATGAATTGTATTTTAGAGAACTGTTGTATTTTGTCTATAAGTATACATGTTTTTTTCTAATTGAATGTTATAGAAATTGTTTTCCTCTGTGAAATCACAACGACCACACTGAGAGTTAACATGTTCGCTTTTATGCGTTTTTACTTTTCTGAAATTCGTGATCGAGCTAAGAAGGGGTATCTTGATACTAAGCAATTCTAATTATAATGGCTGCAAATTATATAAAGGTATTCGTGATTTGGAACAGCTTGAATTGAACTAAACATTTTATTGTCAAACAAATTCATATGGATTAATGATAGGTTTAAAGAAGTGTGTGTGTGTGTGTAGATGCAACTAAAAGCAATGTCGGGCAAGCAATTTACCAACTTCCGACTTGTAGGAAAAAATGTATAAAATTTCCTAGCAACCGATTATTACATGTTACTGCTTAAAGTTTAACGTTTACGGGAATTACAAATTATGCACGTGCCACACGTGTCGAAAAATCTTGCGAATTCAAAATTTATTGCCGATACTTACCTTGGAAGTACTTATTTGTTGGCTTTCCGTATTCTTCTCTGCTGCTTCTATTACACTATGCCGTAACCACGATCTTATTCTAACATTGCATATACACAATCTTGAAAATAGCTAACCGATTCCTATCAGGTAAAGCAGCCCAGGTTGAAGAAGCATCTGTGAATGGTGATATAAACCAAAATGATGATCTCGTTCGAAAGTTTTTCTCAAGGGCTCCAGCAAATTTGTCGGTAGGAGGAAAAGCTTCCGATCAGCCAAAACGAACGCCAGTCTCTCAAGACGAGATTGATGCTATCATGGTATGTTCTTCTAACCCCTTAATACAGTACGTAGAAACATTTTATTACGACATATTTTGAGTCCGATATGCTGTTAAGTTTCTCCAATTTCTTCTGTCGTTTAGTTGGTTATTATTTTCTTAAGTGATATTTCACTTCTTTTTTGTTTGACTCGGGTTGTCTTTAGATAGTCGTAGTGATAATATACCTGGCATGAACGATAAATTATATATTTCTAATACTTGAAAGATTTTTTTTTTCGAATTTCTGAATTGTTAGTTGACTTTTTATATTCTTATGTGCAGTTGGGTGGCTGTTTCTGATTCTACATAAGAGCCTTTGCCGATAGAGGAAAACTCGTGTGAGTCGAGTCCTCTGTTCTAGTTGACAGACGAATGGTTTTGTGTATTACGTACTGTCTTTGTTTGATCAATTTGCATAAATTTCTCGAGTATACTTGATAACAAACTCCAAACAACCTTCTCGTAATTATTCGATTTCCTTGAATTTTGTGGTTCGAATAATGCGCTATAAATTCAAACATGTTTTTTTCTCATATTAAACAAGTTTTACTGATAAAGATGCATCAGTATGCAATTATGCTTATGTATATAGTCGAAATTGGTTATTCTGGTATGTATTTCCTTGTTGGCTTCATCTTTAGGAACCTTCATGAAATCCACTCTTCGACTTTGCTCATTCGGAAAATAAATGAATATCGTGATTTTCAGGAAACTTGAAAAAATTGTAATCCAGACGATGGAAATGTTTAAATTTATTACAGAATTTTACATTCATAAGCCACTGGAATTTCCCATAAAAAAACATGAGAATTATGTACATGATGATAAAAAAAATTATCAAAAATCAAGAACTATTTTCGACCATTTCTTCAAGAATCACCGATCGAGGGCTCACCATAGGCGGGCCCTTTTCACGGCGTTCAAGCTCCTCCAGCCGGAAAGTGATAAGCCTATCCCAGTTCCCACCTTCAAACAAAACTCCAGCTTTCCCATCTGTAATCCTCTGCACAATCCCACAGTACATATAGTACGGACTGCTCCGATTTTTTACGATAGCAATCATGCCAGGCAAAAGCATCGGCAGCTTCGGTGGTTTCGGCTTCTTCACTAGGCTCTGATCGATCCCAAAACTCGCCGCAGTTTCCTCCTCCCCCGCCTTCTTCTTGGGCGGTGGCGGGTTTTCTTCGATGAATTTTTGTAGACCCTTTTCGCCACCTGGAAATCCACCCGTTAGCCCTGATAACTCCTTCTCGAATCCATCTTCGGATATTTCAGGAATCGATGGCTTTTCTTCTTTTGATGATGATGGTTTTGTTTGTGGTTCGTCTGTTGAGATTGGTTTTTGGAGTTCTTTTAGGAGACCCTCTTCGCCATTGCAGAGGCCTCTGCCCCCCAAGATTTCGAGGGGGTTGAATTTGGAGGTGATAATAATACCTTTTAGTGTGTGTTTGGGGAGTGTTGGATTTGATTTATGGGTGAAATTTGTTTGGCCTAGAAACTGAGACTTGTGCAGAAGAGTGCCTTGAAGAAGGCTTTGGAGATGGAAAGAAGCAGCCATTAATTTTATTTTATTTTTCTTTTTTCGATTTTTTTTTCAACAAAGTTGACAGAAAAGTGAAGAGGAATTCTGGAATTGGATAATTTTTTTGGGGATGAAATGTTGGCCACAAATTGAGTTTTGGCTGAAATCTTGGTGGGAAATTTGCTCCACCAATTAATTATAACTGAGTTTATCATCATCATCAATCGGGTACAATTTTATCTATTTATGATAGAGATATGTTTGTCAAAACTATAGCAAAATTCGATGCAGTAAAACCATGTTTTGTAGATGGTACACCCGGTGAAATACACCCCCACAAAATACACCGGTTTCGACTTAACCTACCGGGGTAAATCGAAATAGAATTTCTTAATTCTGCTTATTAGAATTATTTTGGAATAATGTTCTTTGTTTACAATTTATTTTTGTGGTTTTCTATTTTTTTCTGAATCGTAATTCGAACGTTTACGAAATTTAATTTTATTATCGAATTAATTTTTGAAAATTCCAATTTTTTCATAAATTACATTACTGTCAACGATATTATGTTTTTATATTATAGGTGAAAAAACAAATAATAATTCCTACATTCCAAGATTATGATCAGAAAAAATCCGATTTTTTTTTCTCATTCCAATTTCTATTTTTTTTCAAAGAAAAAAAATTATCATAATTCTTAAGTTTTATATTTCCGGGAAAAAAAAATGTTTTGTTCTTAAAAAGCTAATTCTGATTCGTTCAATCTTTCACTAATTATGTGAATCGAAAACGAAATAAATAAACGAAAAGGATTAAATATACCTGGTAGTAGTCCAAAGAACTTCAGAGGCCAACATCCTGAAGAAGTTCTGAAGCAGCTAACAGCAGCACATAAATAATTCTGTCAGGAGAGGAAACTATTTTCCTCGCAAAAAAATCGAGAACGAAATAACCAAAGTTTCCCTCTAGAGAGAGAAACTTGGCAGAGAGAGAGGGCAACCATATAAGAACTTGAGAGAGTTTTATTCATTAACTAGATCAGCAGCCAAAACCACAGAGATGAGGGGATCATAAGATAAAGAAAAATAACCCAAAAGTTCATTTCAAAAACTCGGAAAAGAAACCGAAGAAAAAAAAATTTAAATTGTCTCAATGTGTACTTTCAGGAGAATGATGTATCCGACTTAAATTGACTGACCCAGCTACCATTGACTCTGGCATCATTGCCTCAGATGCCTCAGAAGAAACATCATCAGAACTAAGCAAAGGACCAAATTTAGAATCTACCAACTTTGTTTCTTCATTGTTAGTAGTTTCAGATCCTTCGGCTTTTTCTTCGTTGTCTTTGTCAGAATCTGGCTCTTCGGTTTTGACTGTGATGCTGTCAAGTGGTGGATCGATCATCTGTTCCGAGGGTTCAGCATATGCTTCGGTGTTCTGCAAATCATTGGTAGGTTTCATTTCGATATCGAAATCTGGAAGAGTATTGTTCTCCTCTATGCCCTGCATTGCATCTGTTGGGCACAGCTTCTCAGTTTGATCTTCCTCCATGATGTCATCTTCTTCCTGAGCAGAATCTGGAACCATCTCGCCCAATACTTCGGTTTCCTCACCACCTTCAGCCGAAAATTGACCTTTCTGCCTCTTATATAGGGACATTGATTTCTGCAGGAAAAAAATGGAAAAAGCAGCAGAGTATAAGGAAAACGCTGTTCTATCAGAATAACACTTTAATAGGTACGAGGAAATAAAAATTCATAACTCAAAGAATGAAGCAAACGTGCATTACTTCGGCAAGCATAAATATTTGGCCTCTAACCTTATGAAGATATGGCAAAGCATATTATTTCAAACTTGGACATAAAATAGTTAGATGAACGGAGGAATATTATTATTTGCTTAGAACCCTCCAGCTATCTCAAAAAAATTAAAAATTTGTGCCAACAGATAATCCTTAGAATTTGGGATTTTTTTTTTTCAAATGGACGAGTAAAACCGACTAGGTGAACATGCAAATGGACAATTCATGGAAAGGCCATGAACAAGTGCATACATTGGAATGTACCAAAGTCATTGTTCATTCTACATGGATAAAAACTTGGCAGACGTGCAATATGCACAACAACAGTAGCACTGAAATGGACCAAATGTGTCTATATTCTATAACAAAAGGATAGTATCGTAGCTGGAAAAGTAATATATGAGAATAGTTTTATTTAAAAAAATGTATAACCAACTTTCACACAGCAAATCTACCTGGAAAACAGAATCATCAGTAGATGCAAACAGTGCATAACTCAGAAGTCTATGCGATGATGCCATTCTAGCTTCAACATCCTGTCATGCAAAAAAAAGGAAAAGAATATTAGGACAGACCTATTTAGATGTAGGTAAATTAATAATGACATGACGCCGGTAATTGGCTGCCGACTTTACCTCCATATATAATATTTTAGAATCATCTATATCAGAGAACATGCTATGTTCCACATCCATCAAGCCTCTGCACTTATCAAACAATTCAGGTTCAGTAAGATCTGTAGAAATGTCAAGTTTGGAAAGGTAAACATGGCATATGGGCAAATCATCCATTCTCGACATTTTAGCGACACCATCATCACCACCCTCCGCACTAACAAGAGAGGCCTCAACATCATTCTTTCCAAAGCTCTTTGTTGACTGGTCAACATCAGTACTATCTGTCTGCTGATTAACACCTCGACTTTGCTCATTCTCCGCTGGTTGAACGGGCTGAACAGACAAAGCCCCCTCTCCACTTCTTATAGAGTTGTTCTCTTTCTCAGAAGACAGTGCCTCCATGCTCGAAGTTCTATTTTGCCCTTTCCACAAATCTGCACTCGACTCCCATCCTCGACTAACAGACAAATTCCGAGAATGTTCCCACTCTGGCCTCCCATAAATGTGAGAGTCATCCCCAAAGACAGCATTACTTGTCTCCCAGCCAGATAATGGAGGGCATGAATCATCCACCTGATTCCGCCATCCCATTGGGCGGCCCGGCCCGGAAAACCTGTCAGCGTCAGGCATATGGTAAGGGGAAGCGTGGCTTAAATCCATTGATGGTCTGACAAACATTTGGGGAGAAGGAAACGGCTGCATAACTGTGTGAAAACCGACAGGATGTGGACCATGTGGATAAGGCAAGAAACCATTTGCCACAGGAGAAGGCCAGCTTGGAACACCTCTCCAAGCATTTCCTTGCATTCTTCCCATGTTAGGATCGCCCATTCTACGATGACGCATGTTGGGCTTACCTCTACCATCGTCTTCACCCGAGCCTAACACCGAAGGGCTATCCAGACCTGTCCTGTAGGGTGGTGGAGGTGGCAAGGCCTTGGAAATGTTAGAGTAATGGTTGTTTCTCACAAAAGGTGACGAAGTATTATCTGCATCAGCTTGTGAAAGTTCTTCTCCAGGATAGTCTTTCCAGTCTCGAGAACCACCACCACTCCTTTGCATTGATTCGTCTACGTCAGTGCTTCGTCTAACATCAGGCCTGCCAAAAGGTCTCCTATCAGAACTTGATGGAGATTTATGATTATCCACTAGCTTCAAGGGTGATGAACGCATATCGGACTTGAGACGCCTTTCGGCCGAGAGCTCTCCGAAGAGACCATCGTCTTTTTGACCGAGCTTCTCCCCTGACCGGGATGAAGGTTTCTCAGATCCGCCAACTGCACCAGCATAATCTCTAGACGAAGTCATGCTGTGTCGATTTCTCTCTTCATAATTATGATCTCTATACTTGGACTCGTCTTGCTTCGGGGCCCTGGAAAATATTCAAGTTTGTGTAAAGATATATGCTAAGACCAGCAGAGGTCATATTTGATATTTGATTTAATCTTTTCAAGTGATGTATATGCTACAGGGTGATGTCAAGTTCGTTAGTGTCAACCAAGAAATGGAAGAATAAATACAAAAGAAACATACAAGGTCCATTTCAAGTAAAAAGGGATAATAAAACATGAGGCTAAGAAATTTCGGTATGCAGCACAAAAAACATAACTTCGGCTATACATCCTTCTTAACCTAACTAGAAAACTATCAGAATCTCTAACCCAGACCACCACGAAAAAAAGAAGAATAAGAAGGACGAATAGACTTCAACAATGTTCAGTGTCAAGTAATTTAATATTTCAACAAATGATATGCTACGGACGCTATTCAGTGATAACCTAAAAACGAAATGAAACAGTTGTAAAGCACAGTGGATCCCTTCACTTCATCTTAGCTCCTACTCAGAAGCTCAGTTACGCAGCCAAGACAACATTTACATTCATCTAATAGTCATCACTGACATGCACGATCCAGCCTCCAGATGGTTACTATAAACCATGCTGGTATGAATTACACTGGAAAATAAAATCTACATAACAATCCTTTTAATCAACATAGAAACAACTGTATATACATATATGACTTCTGACAATCATTAAATTCCAAAAGATCTAATAGTTTCGTACATGCTCTTAACATAAAATATTTTGACATATAATAAAGAAATATTGCATGCATACACGTACCTGTAGTGATCCCTTGGAGCATGAAAACTTGAGGTGGGGGAACTCCTTCTTTTGCTGTGGCTAGAAGAAAGTTCCACATCAGCATTTCTAGAAGTAGACCTTACTCTATCAACAGCGATATCCATTCTTGCACTTTTCTTTTCAGAATCAGATCTTTGATCCTTCGTGCCACGAGATTTATCACCATAATCCTCTTTTTCATTGGTTCTCCTCCTACCTTGATCATCCCTGTACCTCGCCACTCTGTCATCACGGGTCGGACTATCATCGTAGGCACTTGATTTTCTAGCATGATGGTCAGCGTAACCATCCTCCCTGGAACGTTTAAGGTCAGACTTTTCGCCAGAACGGTCTCTCGAGGCACGTTCGTCTCTGTACTTGGTGTCTCTTGGTCTCTTCTCTCTATCGTACCCATCCCCTTGCTTACTACTATCGTTATGCCGAATATCTCTTTCAACATCTTCTCGGTACTTTTCCTCCTTGTGCCTGTTGTCTCTGTCACCATCGTCTCTGTAACTACTGTCCCTACGTCTATCATCTTTGTCTCCATCCTCATGGTACCTTTCATCCCTACGTTTGCTGCTATCCCTCTCCCCATCTTCATGGTACTTGTCATCTCTTCGGCTTTCTCTTTCAATTGCTTCACGGTACTTGTCTTCCTTCCGCCTACTATCTCGTTCTCCTCCGTCTTCACGGTGCTTTTCATCTTTGCGTCTACTTTCACGATCCACATCTTCACGGTGTCTATCATCTCTTCGCCTGACATCTTTGTCGTCATCTTCTAGATACTTGTCTTCGTGGTGTTTGTTATCCTTGCCAGATTCTTCCCTGTATTTTTCCTCCTTTCGCCTGTCATCTTTGAGGTCGTCTTCCGGGTATTTATCTGCATAACCTCCTCCATCTTTATGCTTATCGTCTCTGTATTTTAAATCTTTGGAGCGGTCACCTTTCGAGGACAATCGCCTCTCATCACCTTCTTTAGAATCATCGTAATGTTTCTCTTTTTCACTAGAAGCTTCTCTTTTCTTGCGCGTCTTTTTCTCGATATCCTTCTCCAGTTCAGGCTTTCGCGACTCGTCCCTTAAAGTGCGTTCTGCGGAAATAATTAATTTTGACAGTTAGAAATACTAAATACTTATTTCCAGTACAAGCACAATTCCAGAAAATACTCAATAGTGCATAGAGACCAATCTTTTTGACAGATAAATAATCAAATGTTTAAAGAAACATCTTGCAAATTGTGTTAATAATTACCGAGGGTTTGGTTCAAGACTGAACATTAATTCTAACAAATCATGACAGGTAAAACTAGAGAACATTGGCCTAATCTTCGTAGAAGGTAACAGAAATAAAATTCAAAATGAGAATAAATATACCTTTCCCTTTACCCTAACCCTTCCCCTTTACCTAAAACCTGGATAGACTTAAAAACTCTTAATGATAAATTAGTATTCACTAAGCTTCTTCACCAAACCAAATCTAATACCAGAAAATATGAATTGTAAAAGGATGTTTAGTTACCAATTGCTGAAATAAACAGAGAGCTATAGCATCTAAAAATAGCTTGTTGAGAGTATAATGATCATCTAAGAAATATTAGAATAATGAGTAGATGCTTGAGTAACTATCTACACATATTACTAAGCAACTGAATTAAAAATCCAAAATATTGGTTGCACTAGAATGAAACATACCAGCGGCAGAAATAAGCCACACGATTAATGAGAAGTAAATCAACAAAGAGAATTCATCAGTCCCCAATGTATCAATAAAAGTTACCTTACCAGTATTATCTCGAGCACGTTTACCCTGTTTATCCTCACTAAAATCCACCAATTGCGGAACTTGCTTCTTCACAAGATCCATATCAACTAGTTTCATCACCTCAGCATCAGCTATCTTACTCTCCTGACCTCCATTCTTCTCCTTGTCCGACCTGCGATCCTTCTCTTTCGTGTCCTTTCCATCTTTACGCGAAGAAGAATCCCTCTCGGACCTCCGTTTTGACTCCCCTTTGCTCTTACCCTCCTCTTTCTCCAAAACTACAGATGCTAAACTGTCGTCTTTTCTCTCACCAACAATTCCACTATCATGCCGTTTACTCTTACTCCTGGACTCAACTCTCAAGCTTTCACCTTTGCTGCTAGTCTCCTTCAATTTAAGGTCAACTTTCAAGATGTCTCCTTTATGACTTTCCTTCTCGACATTCCTATCACTATCCCCTCTCTCTTCCACACCCCCGCTCCACCTATCGCCGACAATAACCACATCGGTTTTCTCTTTTCTGCGTTTCGATGAAACGTACTCCTCCAAAACATCTCCATTGCCATGACCACTCAGATCCTTACTGTCCTTGCCTTCTCGCACAGAGGATGAAACTTTACGCTTATCACCCGATGCTGAATCCCGATGAACCCTGATAGAGTTTTCGTCTTTACTACTCTTCTCCTTCATCTTTATTACATCCTCTTCAGAGTCAGAATAATCCCTTGAACTATGTTTGCTCTGTTTATGAGATTTGTGCCTCGAACTCTTGGGCATCTTTGTAGATTGGGCAAAAAAATAAAAAAACCCTAATTGTCACGAACCCAAGCCCTAATTTTCACACTCGGCAACCCAGAAGCAAACAACGGTAAATTAACGAAATCAAATACTAAATTAATTGGAACCCTGAATCACGCAAGTTCATTCACCACAAAAAAAACTGCCCCCGCAATTAAAAGAGACATAACCCTTGCGGAACCCGAACCCTAATTCAACCTTTTTCCCGAAGCAAAAATTCCCAAGTAAATAGATTCCAATCCGAAAACGAAAACGTCGCCGGAAACAGAAAAACACCAACGCCGGAAAATCGACTATTACCAGTGCGAAGACTTTGACCCCCTCTCAGATCGCTCGATTGCGGCGGACCAAAAACTTGGAAATCTATCCACGTATACCTCGCTTTCTATTTGTGAAAATGCATTTTAATAATTAATAATCGAAAATTAAAAAATAAATCAGGAAATTGTGCAGGACAGAGAAAGAAAAAGCGAAGAAAAAATCGGAAAATTTTGGGACAGAAAATAGAGAGAGAGATCGGAGGCGAAGTTTTGATGGTTTTGTTTTTTGCCGAGAAATTAACAAATGTGATTCGTATTGGGGTATCGGGGATAACTTGGGGATTATTGAAATTACCTAATTATCCTTAGTTTATATAATTATTTACTCTTTTGCCATTAGGGGTGGTGGTTTGTGGTGCGTAGCCAATGATCTTTGGTGGTGGCTTCATCTTATATTCCGATTAGGAAAAGGATGAAAATGTCAATAAAGTCTTTTTTCTATTATTATATAATATAAATATTAAATAAATTAATCAAGTGCATGAATATCTTATTTTGTGACATTGCTAATTCAATTTTTTTTTACTTACCAAATCGAATTTTAATTTTTAGTGTGGTGCGAATTATAATCATTTCTCGTAATGTGTTATAATCCTAACAATTAATTTGTGATACATTTATGATAATTTGTTATTCATGGAAATTAGCAATTAAGTTTTTTATTGAAATAGGTGAACAAAAGGCCAATTTGGGGCTATGGTTTTTCAGTATTCTTATAAAATAATTTAATTCGTACTAATGAAATTCATTGTTTGGTACTTTATAAATGTTATCCTATACTAACGTATACATATAGTCCTAACGAGTTATTCTATTACATTGAATTGATTCAGTAGAATTGTGAGATAATTCAATATAAGTAATGTAATTGTTAAATCAGTTCATAGTCGATGGGTTACGCTAACAATGAAGTTACCGTTTTTTCCTTTGCTCTAAAAATCTCTAAGTAGTTCGAGTAAATAAAATTATAACACTTGGCCATGCATAAGGAATAGGTAAAATTGAAATTTTCCGATTATTACCATTCGGAAAAGGTTGATTTTAGAACAAGCATTTTCCTTATAATCTATAAAAAAAATCCAAGATTTTTGGGATCGGGATTGAAATTATTCTTTTTCACTTTCGGACTATTATTTTTTTCTCGTTCTAAAGTGTTGATTCCGTTCTGATCCGTTCGATTTTCATTCTAAGCCACGTTAGTTAGATACATTTAGTTGGGCTTGTTTATAAATTATAATAAGTGCTATAGTCCACCTAATGAAATGGGCCTTCAAACACAAAGTTTACTCCTACTCCAACACAAGGCCCGTTTGGTTGTGAACCAATCCAATGTAAATTGCCAACCGGAAAAAAGCATCTATAGCACCCCTACCCAAACGCGGCATAACATAAAAGAATAATATTTAATAATTGCTTGCCCAGATGGACAATGTCTAATTACCAAACTACCCGCTAAGCAAGAAGTCCTTAGCTGATAGAACAAGGGGTAAACACGTCATTTCAACAACCCCACCAGCACACAATTAATCAATTATCAACTTCTGTGACAACTTTTCGAGGAGACAAAGAACTTTACCTTAGTTTTCTTCTTCCCCGCGAGTTCAATCATCTGCAGATCAAAGGTTTAAATTCTTCTCCCTTTTAACTAATGTCTTAATTTTCGCAGTCATAATCAATCGAGATAGTATTTGTTTTTGATTTTTTGATTTAATTATTTAAGCTCAAGTCCTAGTATTTTTATTTATTTTTTAATTCTACAAAAAAAAAAAAAAAAAAAAAAACATCGTAGCAGTATCAGTAATTTATTCATGTTTTTTTCCTTGTTGTGAACATGTAATAATCATAATTTTAGGAAGTTTTGACAGGGTTGAATTGAGATTTTTTGAGATCATGTGTACTTCGTTTTACTTTTGTTTGGTCAATTCAACTGTTGGCTGAATTCCCTGTTAAAAAAAACATATATATATTTTTTTAATTTATTTGTTTACGATATACTCGTTGAATATATGGTTGGGGATGATTAGCTCAGGATCTTTAGAGATGCTAAATTGTAATAATAATTTTAGGATCATATGTTTTGATGTGTTAATTAATTAGTTTAACTGAAACGTGTGCCCTCGATCGATTAAAATCACGATCCAAACAATATTTATATTTTAATGTAAATTACGAGTATAGCTGATTGTTTAAGAGATATTATCTATGATGAGTTTGAATTTTATGCTAATTTCGCAATGTAATTTGGTAATAGATTTTAAGGTGAATTTAATATTCATGGGTGATGGTCCTCGAGGAATAGAAGTACTTCCCGATTACTTCGTAGCGTCGACTTCTGGTTCAGACACTCTTCCAGTCCAGACATCCTCAGCCATAAATTTAAGGTAAGTTTGTTTTACCGAACTATTTTGATTAAAAAAAAAAGAACCAATCGAAAATTGATTTTTATTATATTTATTTTCTTTAGTTTAGGTCTCACAGTCATACGTGGGCTCGACAAAAAATAAGAAGTGCAACATCGATGTTGAATTTGTTTAGTCTAAAGGGACTGTCTTGGAGATTAGGCGCAAACGGTCAGGATAAGGTACGATTTAATTTCTAATTTTGCATCTCGTAAATCTGTTGAAAAATTACGGTTTCCGATCGGTTTTAAGGAAACTCGAATTGTTTACGACTCTCTGCAGGTTGTGTTGAGTGTTGTAGAGGTCGAATCTCTTCGTTCGGAAATAGCTGCTTTAGAAGAAAGGGAATCTCATTTTAAAGCCCAGTAAGCAATATTTCGTTCTCGATTTTCAACTTTTGCAAATAATCAATTCGATTGCTGAAAAGATATCATCTACTTCATGCTTATATTATTTTCTTCACACGAATAATAGTTTTTTTTTTTTTTTTGATGTATACAGATTGGAGCATATTGATGAAATATTAAGATCTGCTCGCCTATCTGGCTATCTGTTCTTACGAACGGTACAATTGTTGTTCTTTCTCGTTTTTAAGATTATTCCTGTCTTGTCGGACCATGTTTGTTCTTTCTGCTTCATAGTACAGTATCCTCGATAAATTACGACTCATTAAATTTATAACCTCGTGTAAATAATATGTTTTCCCGGTCCCGACTCGAAAGCAACATGTTAAAAAATATTTCGTTAAATTAATACTTCGCTAAATTAATAAAATTTGGTTGGTCCCGACTGTATTAATTTATAGAGGTTTAATTGTACCCTGTTCTTTTTCTTTTTTCTTTTTTCGATAGAGATGGGCGGCATTACCCGGAGAATCTCTTCCTATAGACGATACCGAAGTTGACGATTGGCTTCCTCGTTTTATTGTCCTTCATGGTTCGTGTATCTATTTGTATATGATTTCCACAGGTACTCGATTATTCAATTCTCTCGGTTTTCCGTACTTATATAATTTCTTCCACTTGCATGTGATAATTCGAGAAATCATAAATTCCAACTTTGCCATTGTTTCTTGAATTTATTTATTTTGCAGATTTAAGTCCACAGGACTCGACTTTCTTGTCTGATATCGTTGAAATTGGTTCGCTTCCTTGCTTATCTCGAGAAGATGGGGAAACTCGGTATTGCTTTTATCTATTAACACGTCATGGCCTCAGATACGAGTGCTCCAGCGCATCTAAAATTCAGGTTTGCCGTTTTTGCCCTTTGGCTTCCGTTTCCATTTCCCTTTTTTTCAAATAAAAAATAAAAAACGTATTCTCGTGTGCTCTTCAGATTGATTTATGGTTGGAAGCACTAAGGGCTGATTGCAAATTGGCGTCGAATTCTGAATATCTTAACGATTCGGCGAAGGCGTAAATTGTTTCTACGTGTATATATTGTCCAGATTTGACGTGGTCGTATTATTGGCTGAAACTGAATATTTGCACCGATAATATTTGGCGTGTAGTGTACATATTTCATTTTTTCCAGCTGGAAGTTATAGCAATTTTTTTTCTAGCGACGGTTTTTAACTCGGATCTTTTTAAAATAAAAATTAAATTCGAGTGTTAGCTCTTGTTTTTTTATTGACTGTGATCCGGAGGAAAACAGTTGCGTTGATGACCTTGGCTTCCGGTGACCTGGAAAAGAGAAAGCCGGACTGATGCCGGAGTTAGCACTCCGACGATCAAGTCAGTGATAGTGTGATTACTGTATTTCCTTAGGATTTAGGATTTTTTATATATCTTAAAGTAAAAGAGAAACTCCCTTTTATATACCCTTCGACTCGGAACTCGAAGGCCCGGGAATTCCGCGCTAATTGCAGATGACAGTCGTCCTTCCCCGAGCAGCCCGGGTGGCCGGGGTCATGATAACTCCTCCAATAGGTCTGCTGACCTCGTTCGGTACTAGCCGTTGAGCCGCGCCTGGTCATTCCGCCATAAATGCCACTGTCAGAGCATTAAATGCGCCGTCCAGCATTTATGACCCCCCGACCTGTGAAAGCTCCTCGGGAGGGAAATCAGGCCCTTCGTGGATGGGCCCTTACGCCAACGGGCTGGGTGACCCCTTGGGCCGTTTGTACTGGTGAGCCCACCCTTTGATGGGCCTTGATAGTTGGGCTCTTGGCCCTGGACCGGAGAAGGATAGTTCTGGTCCGGATCAACTAGTCCCCCACTCCGGGTTCTATCTCCGAGTTTAGGACCCGGAGTTCACTCGGTTTTATTTTCCCTAACTCGGGCGACGTTCAATCAGCCGCGTCTTTCAAGTTAGCCGCCTGGTCTTCTGCGCCTTTCACACACAATCCTAGGTCCCTACAGCCCACGCGGGGCTCCTCGTTTTCCGCGCGCCATTACTGCCGGCGGCTCTTCGCCTTTATACCCTGCTTTATCTTTGAGTGACGTCCTTTCTTCCCCACTTCTAATCTTCACACATCTCCTTCACTCTCCCTCTTAATACCTTTCTTCCATTTATCGAGTGACTCCGCCAGGTACATCCTTATTCCCTTTCCTTTGTTTATACTGCGCTTGCCCTTCCTTTGATTGATTCAACCATGGTTTCTCAAAATACCTCCACTTCCTCTTCTTCGGAGAGGACGGGTTCCGCCGTCCCTTCCCCGGTTCCTCGGCGAGGTCGCCGGCGACCGGTTCCCCGTAAAACTGTAGCCCCTTCCTCTTCTAGGGCAGGGAAGAAGAAAGTGGCGGAGAAACCTACCCATTCCTTGGTCGATAAATTCGATCTTGAGGCCCTTTATGTTACCCAAGGGATGGATCCCTCCTTCCACCTTGTTGTGCCCTCTCGCGACCAGACCCCTTCTAGCCCCCCTCCGGGATACCTCACTTGGTACCTCGACCAATTTAAAGCCGGCCTATCGTTCCCTTTACATCCCTTTTTTTGTCGATGTTAGTCGCGTCTATAGAGTTCCTCTTCACTTATTTCATCCGAATGCCATAAAGTATATGTCCCGTTTTTATATTGTCTGTGTGGGTACCGGGGTTGACCCACGTCCCGAGCTTTTCTTTTCCTTATTCACCCACAACCGATCACCTTCAGGCTATTTCCATCTCTCGACCCGTATCGGCCGTCTTTTCGCTGGTCTTGTCACGAAGATCGACTCGTGGCAACGGCGTTTCTTTTTTGCCCGTCCGCCATCTCCATGGCCATTTGACCCTACTCCCCCTACTAAGTCCCCCATGCGTGCTGTTTTGGATGTGAACTTCGACGAGGAGACAGCCCGTCTCCTCGCTTGTGTTCGTCCTCGCGCTTGGAATGTAGAGAAGGTCGTCAGCACCACTCCCCTTTTTTCCCGTGCCGGTCTATGGCGTACCCCCTCATTCGATCGCCGACCTTGGGGTATATCCCCCTTCTTCATCTTTACTCATGCAGTGTTCTCTTTCCCTTTTTTTTTTTATTATATTTTTTTTTGTTTTGAAATCTTATTAACATTTCTGTTTCGTCAGCCGAGATGATGCTTGATATGCTGATGGAGATGGCGGAGGCCGAAAAGAAAAATACCGAAGGTCCGTCAACACAACTTCAGGAGGCCGGTACTTCTGTTGTTCCCGAGGCATCCTCCCGTGGAGTTGAATTTCCATCGCACAGTTCCAACTCTCCCTCTCGTACCGCACCGCCTTCTTCCAACTTGCAGTTGGCTATTCCTGATGTCGTGATTGACCTCTTGGATAGTGAGGCCGAGGGACGCGACCCGGTGGCTTCTCTAGGCGGCGACCCAGGGTTTGAGGAGGCTCAAGGGGAGTCGGCGGGGGCTAGCTCGAAACGACCCTTGCCGAGTGACTCCACCCCACCGCCTAAGAGAGCCCGTCTCGACTTGCCTTCCCTCTTTTCCGCCGATGACTCCGAGGGGTCCGTGGACTTCGCTCTTCGTCAACTGGCCAGGGTTCAAGCCGCCGGGGATTCATCCTACCTGAATAACCTACCCCACTCAACCCGCCGTGCGAAGCTGGCCCTTTGTTTGGCACAAGTATGTGTTTACTTCCCCCCTCGGTATCCGTGTTACCTTGTTAAAGATATGATTATTTTTTAATAATTTGTCTTTTTTTTTTTTTTTTTTTTTTAGGCGAGCTCTATCGTGGCCTCGGGTTTTGGTGAGGATGACCCTTCGGTTCATGATCAGGCAGTTCGTGAGCTATCCTCGCAAGCCGCCAATGCTCGTACCGCTCTCGAACGAGCGTCCTCCCGGATATATGCCTTGATGGCTGAGAACGGGTCACTGTCCAGGCAGTGCGAGCTTGCCGAGGAGAAGCTTCAAGACGTCCAATCGAAGCTGTGCGAGACGAAGAGTGCCCTGGAGGGGCAAATTGCGCGGGCGAACGAGGAGAGGGACTCGGCCGTTCGGCAGCTGGAGGCGAAGGAACAAGATTTCCAAGAGGAACTCTTACGCCGCCTTACTGCTGAGCGAGAGAAGTCCCTAGGAGAGCTTCTGGCTACTGCAGAGGGTTTGGCAGTTCTTGATCAGTACCGGGTCAAGCTATTCCAGAGGTACCCGCACACAAAGCTCTTCCTGAAGGATGCATGTCCTATCGGCATGTACTATGTGAAGCAGACCATTGCCGCGTGTGAAGCCTTGGCCTCCGAGCAGCAGGCGATCGTTCGCTATGAGCCTACGGTTGTCCTTGGCAAGATTAGCAGGACGCTTTCTTTATGGAAGGGCGATCCTCGTGAGCCGATCGACTATGCCTGGTGGCAGTCTATTACGGACGACCTGATCTCGTCCATTGGTTCGTCCTCTACTTCCCGGCTTCCGGAGCCATTGACCACCGGTCCGGCTGGTGCGGCGTCGTCGGCAATTGCCGGTGCTCACTCGGCTCTTCCTCTGCCGCCTATCCCCGCCGTCAATCCTGTTTCCGCCTCCTCTGCTCCTCTGTCCACTCCTTCCGTTGCTGCTGCAGTTGTTCATCGTTCTTAATTTTAAACTTTTAAAAACAAATTTCCTTTGTTATTTCCTTTCCAATTACTACTTATCGTATTTTTGAACTATCTTTGATTATTCCCGTATTGCCCCTTTTTGTTGTGCATGTTTATTATTTACCTCGTGCTTTTACTCCATTCATTTATTTAGTAACCTGCTAAATTTTTCATAAGTACGTTCCTCGCAATCATATTGTTGTTCGACCCGTAGCTCGAGCTCTCGGGTATTCGATCGGTGAGCTCGAGCTCTTATTTCGCACCGGGGAACGTACTTGGAAAAATTAGATTTTTCCTTAGCGTTCCCCGCGATCATATTGTTGTTCGACCCGGAGCTCGAGCTCTCGGGTGTTCGATCGGTGAGCTCGAGCTCTCGGGTGTTCGATCGGTGAGCTCGAGCTCTCGGGTATTCGATCGGTGAGCTCGAGCTCTTATTTCGCACCGGGGAACGTACTTGGAAAAATTAGATTTTTCCTTAGCGTTCCCCTCAATCATATTGTAGTTCGACCCGTAGCTCGAGCTCTCGGGTATTCGATCGGTGAGCTCGAGCTCTTATTTCGCACCGGGGAACGTACTTGGAAAAATTAGATTTTTCCTTAGCGTTCCCCGCGATCATATTGTTGTTCGACCCGGAGCTCGAGCTCTCGGGTATTCGATCGGTGAGCTCGAGCTCTTATTTCGCACCGGGGAACGTACTTGGAAAAATTAGATTTTTCCTTAGCGTTCCCCTCAATCCTATTGTTGTTCGACCCGGAGCTCGAGCTCTCGGGTATTCGATCGGTGAGCTCAAGCTCTTTACCCTCATAAGTTTTTTAAGAAAGGGAGGGCAGTTTTCATTCATTTCGAGGAAACGTTTCAAAATGAAAAGGAGAAATATCAAAATGGAAAGTGGAGAACATGCATCTACTAGGCGAAATACTTCTTCAGGTGCCCTATGTTCCATGGCCGAGGTAGTTTATTCCCGGTGGCTGTGGCCAGCTCGTACGCTCCTCCTCTTAATATCTTCTTGACGACGTAAGGTCCTTCCCAATTAGGTTCCATCTTCCCGGTGGCTTTCAGAGCGTCCGCCTGCTTGAGTACCAGGTCGCCGACTTGGAAGTGTCTTTTCCTTACCTTCCTATCGTAGGCGTTTTTCATTCTTGCCTTGCTTACCTCCATCCTGATCGCAGCTTGCTCTCTTAGCTCCTCTGCTAGGTCCAGGTCCGCTCTCAGCCGTTCCTCGTTGTCCACTTCGTTGAAGTTCTTAATTCGCCTCGAAGGTATTCCAACCTCTAGCGGTATTACTGCCTCTGAACCATGCACAAGCGAGAATGGGGTTTCCCCCGTAGCCTCTTTGGGGGACGTCCGGTGTGCCCATAGGACCGAGTGCAACTCATCCACCCAATTGCCCTTCGCTCGATCTAGTCGCTTTTTGATACCCTCAATTATAACCCGGTTCACTACCTCAACTTGGCCATTTGCTTGCGGGTGTGCCACCGCCGCGTACCTCTGTCTTATGCCCAAACCCTTACACCACTTGGTGATCCGTGCTGAGTTAAATTGTGTGCCGTTGTCCGATACGAGGTCCCTCGGCAACCCGTACCTGCAGCATATGTTCTGCCATATGAATTTCATTATCTCCGTATCCGTGATCCTTGCCACTGCCTCAGCTTCGACCCATTTAGAGAAATAGTCTACAGCGACCACTAGAAATTTCCTTTGCCCTGTTGCGAGAGGTAGAGGGCCTACTATGTCAATTCCCCACTGGGCGAACGGACAAGGAGCGTCCACGATTGTCATTTCCTCCCCGGGCGTATGTATGCGGGGGCCATACCTTTGGCACTTGTCGCAGCTTTTCACAAATTGCGCCGCATCCTTCCTCATAGTGGGCCAAAAATACCCGGCTCTCAGCAGCCGCATCGTGAGCGTTCGACCACCGGCGTGATCTGCGCAGCAACCCCCGTGGACCTCCCTGATCGCATTTGCCCCCTCCGTTTCGCTGAGGCATCTCAAGTGGGGCCTAGTGAACCCCCCGCTTGTATAATGTCCCCTTATCCAAACAAAAATTTCTCGCTTTCATCTCCAACTTACTCTGTTCCTTCCGACAGGGCAGCATTTCTCCTTTCAGATATCTTATGATATTCTGACGCCAGTCCGGTGCTAGGCTTGTTGTCGCTACCTCCAACTGCTCTCTTGGCTGCCCTTCGAGGATCGTTATCTGTCTTGAAGAGCAGTCCGCGGACATACTTCCTACCCTTGCTAGGAAGTCCGCCTTTTCATTCTCCTCCCTCGGGATTTGCCTAAGTGCCACCTTGTGAAAGCTCTCGGCTAGCTTTCTTGCCTTACTGCAATATTCCTCCATTCACCCATCCTTCGTTTCGAATACCCCGTTGAATTGCTGAACGACCAGCTGCGAATTAGAGAATATCTCCAAAACCCTTGCTCCCGCATCGGCGGCCAACTGCAGGGCATGCAGCAGGGCCTCGTACTCCGCCTCGTTGTTTGACGCTCGGAAGGTTAATCGGATAGCGTACTCATATTTATCTTCCTCGGGGCTCACCAGTAGTACTCCCGCCCCGCTCCCCGATTGGGTGGCGGACCCGTCGATGAAGATTCTCCACTCCCCGCTTTCTTCCCCTTGTGTCACCCCTTGCAAAAAGTTTGCCAACACTTGCCCTTTAATAGCGGCCTGTGCTTCGTACCCGATATCGAACTGCCCCAGTTCCACTGCCCATTTAACCATTCGGCCAGATACGTCCATCTTTCCCAACGTTCCTTTCAGAGGAAGGTTGGTTCGCACTATTACCTCGTGCGTCAAGAAGTAGGGCCTCAGTTTCCGTGCTGTGATCACAAGGGCCAATCCTGCCTTCTCAATCTCGGGGTAACTCTTTTCGGCTCCTCTAAGCATTCAGCTTACGTAATAAACGGGATGCTGGGCCCCCTTTCTCTCGCTCAGTAGTACCGTGCTTATGGCTTGGCGACCCACCGCCAAGTACACATACAGCCTCTCCCCGACCTCGGGTTTCACTAGTAGGGGTAGGCGGGTGAGGGACTCTTTCAACTGCTCGATGGCACGGTCGGCATCTTCATCCCACTGGAAGCGATGGCCTTTGCGCAGGATCCTAAAGAACGGGTAGCTGGTATCGGCTGCTCGCGAGATAAAACGGCTTAATGCCGTGATCCTACCTGCCAATATCTGCACTTCTTTTACACTTCTCGGGGGTAGCATTTCTAGTATAGCCCGCACCTTTTCTGGGTTAGCTTCCACTCCTTGCTTAGTCACCACATACCCTAGGAATTTCCCGGTCTCCACACCAAACGCGCACTTGGCGGGGTTGAGCTTCATTCCATACTTTCGCAGTGTTGCGAACGTCTCCTGCAGGTCGCTGATATGTTCACTGACCTCCTTACTTTTGACCAACATATCATCTACGCACACTTCCATATTCCGCCCTAATTGGGTTCGGAACATATTGTCTACCAATTTCTGGTATGTTGCTCCTGCGTTCTTTAAACCGAATGGCATTTCTACGTAGCAATACGTTCCTGTGGAAGTCACAAAACTGACTTTGGGCTGATCCTCCTCGGCCAGGCGAATCTGATGGTATCCTTGCGAGGCGTCCATCATGCTAAGCATCGCGCACCCGGCAGTTGAGTCCACGAGCTGGTCGATCCTTGGCAATGGGTAGTGATCCTTCGGGCAAGCTTGATTCAAGTCGCGGAAATCTATGCACATTCTCCATTTTCCTTCCGCCTTCTTTACTAGCACGGCGTTTGACAACCAAGTTGGGAACTGGATTTCCCTGATATGACCCGCCTCTAATAACCTTTTTACTTCCTCGCCGATGATCTTATCTTTCTCTGCCCCAAAATGTCTCCTCTTCTGTTTCACAGGGCGAGCGTCGGGCCTTAGGTTCAGCTTGTGGACTGCTACCGAGGGATCTATTCCGACCAGGTCTACGGGAGACCAGGCAAACACGTCTTGATGGTCTCGTAGACATGCTATCAGCTCCTCGGCCGTTTTGCTATTCATCCTTGTTCCTATTTTAGTGACCCTCATAGGGTCACTCTCGCTGAGATGAACCACTCGCAACTCTTCCATGGGCTGGATGTGACCCTCCCTCTCGTCGTCCGGATCCTCGCGGGCCCTTTTCTCCCTTGCCCTATCTAAGAGTTCCTTTCCCGAGCGCTCCTCCCATCCGATGGGATTGATGCGTCGCTGTCCCCGTAGCGCTTGATTATAGCATCGCCTGGACGTCTCCTGGTCGCCCCGGACCTCTCCTACTTGGTCTAGTACTGGGAATTTCATTTTCATGTGGAAAGTGGAGACGACGGCTTCAAACGAGTTCATCGAAGGTCGTCCCATTATCATGTTGTACGTCGATGGTGCATCTATGATCAGGAATCTGACAGCCCTTGTGGCTCGCAGGGGCTCCGTTCCCAGAGACACAGGTAGTGTTACCTCGCCCATGGGTTGTACTACCTCTCCGGCGAAGCCAATGAGCGCCGTGTCCACCCTCCGGACTTCGAAGTTCAGTCTCATCTGCTTAAAACAGTCGTAGTAGATGATGTCTGCCGAGCTACCTGTGTCCACCAATATTCTGGCCACATCATAGTTGGCTACCATGGCCGTGATGACCAACGCGTCGTTGTGCGGCTGTTGTATTCCAGTCTCGTCTTGCACTCCGAACGTGATCGGCGGGGCTATCGATACCCGGTACATCATGGCGAGTTCTCCCCTTAGCTCCTGCAACTCTCGCAGATGCGCCCGTCGGGACCTGTTCGAGTCTCCACCGATGGGGCCACCGAAAATCGTGTGAATGTAACTATTAGGCGGGCGGGCCTCTGTAGTTCCGCTCGCGTTGTTCGGAGGCCGGTTCGAGCTATCTCCCTTCTTGGCCTGCCTTATCCCACTGGGATTACCGCCAATGAATTCCGAAAGATTCTTAGTCCTGATCAGTCTCTCGATTTCATCTCTTAAATGCTGGCATTCGTCAGTGGAATGACCATGCTCATTGTGGAACCTACAATAGGGCCCGGCGTTAGCGGGCTTTCTTGGAATCTCCGCGTAAGTTCGGGGCCACTTGAGTTTGGGGTGGTTGGCGATGGCAACTAGTATCTCCGAAGGGGCCGACGAGAGAGGTGCGTAGTTCTCAAAACGAGGACCTCCCCTCATGTCCAAGCCAGGCTCTCGTCGGTAGGTCGGCTCTTGCTTCCTTATCTCATCGCGGGCCTTATCCTTCCGTCTTTCCGCCGGCAAGGTGCCCTCTATAGTTCTACTTCTCCGGGCTTCCTCCGCGTTTATGTACTTCTCCGCCCTCCGGAGCAAGTCGTTGAAAGAGACAGGGGCCTTTTTGGAGAGGGAATCAAAGAACTCACCCATGCGTAACCCCTGGGCCAATGCATTGATGAGCACTTCCTCACTGGTGGCAGGGACCTCTAAAGTTGCCGCATTAAACCTCTGCACATAGCTTCTCAAAGGCTCATTATATTCTCCTTCTGTCGTACTGCAAATAAGGTAAGGGTGCTCCTTTTTTGTTTTTTCGAGCTGGCAAAATGGTTTAGGAACACCTCACCGAATTGTGCGAAGCTGTGGACCGAGCAGCATGGAAGCTGGCTGAACCACCTTTGCGCTGGCCCCGCCAACGTGGTTGCAAACACACGGCACTTTACGCCGTCTGTCAGACGGTGGAGGGAGGCTGAGGTGATGAACCTCGACAAATGTTCCCAGGGGTCCGCGGTCCCCGTGTACTCGTAAGTGACATGTTTGAATGTGGCGGGAAGTTCACCATGCTGCAGTCTTTCGGTGAACGGCGTTCCCGCCATTCCTTCTTCTTCCTCGAGAGGAAAGGCCTCTAGCCCGTCTAGACACGATCCCGCTTTGTCTCCGCCCGGTGCCTTTCTTTTGGCAGCGGGATCCTCCATCCTCTCCTGGGGCGACCGGCCCCTAGCCGCTGCGGCGATCAAGGCCTGCAGGTTCTCCAGGGTGAGCGTTATGGTGGAGTTCTCGCGTCCGGCAGGAGAACCACCAGCCGCCGGGGTTGGTTCCTCGCTCCGAGGGTCCGAAGGAGGTTCGCCTCCGATGACTTGTAGCGGGGGTGGGGTTGATTCTTCATTCAGCTGCTCCGATAGGTTTCGGACTACGTCCACGGGCGTAGACATTGGTAGCATCCCTTATGTGCGTCAGTAGTGCTAGATGGTGAAGAGCTAGCCTGGCTTTACTTGTAAAATAGTTCCCACAGACGGCGCCAATTGATCCGGAGGAAAACAGTTGCGTTGATGACCTTGGCTTCCGGTGACCTGGAAAAGAGAAAGCCGGACTGATGCCGGAGTTAGTACTCCGACGATCAAGTCAGTGATAGTGTGATTACTGTATTTCCTTAGGATTTAGGATTTTTTATATATCTTAAAGTAAAAGAGAAACTCCCTTTTATATACCCTTCGACTCGGAACTCGAAGGCCCGGGAATTCCGCGCTAATTGCAGATGACAGTCGTCCTTCCCCGAGCAGCCCGGGCGGCCGGGGTCATGATAACTCTTCCAATAGGTCTGCTGACCTCGTTCGGTACTAGCCGTTGAGCCGCGCCTGGTCATTCCGCCATAAATGCCACTGTCAGAGCATTAAATGCGCCGTCCAGCATTTATGACCCCCCGACCTGTGAAAGCTCCTCGGGAGGGAAATCAGGCCCTTCGTGGATGGGCCCTTACGCCAACGGGCTGGGTGACCCCTTGGGCCGTTTGTACTGGTGAGCCCACCCTTTGATGGGCCTTGATAGTTGGGCTCTTGGCCCTAGACCGGAGAAGGATAGTTCTGGTCCGGATCAGACTGATATCCCGAATGTTTACTTGCAACGTGAATTGTCATTGTTATAGCACACATTGAGTACCGTAAACATATTGCAATCTTGTTTGTGGTGTTTCTTCTTATTTCTTGCTCTTTCGCCGCAAAGAAAAACATCATCATAAATTATTGCTCTTATTTTTCTCTGCAATTGTACTTTTGGTGTTTCTCCATCTTTCGTTTGTTTAAACATATTGCAATCTTGTTTGTGGTGTTTCTCAATCTTGTTTTTTGTGCTTTTTTTTTTGTTTGCGCTTAGATCGCACCATAAATTAATATTATCTTACGTTCACCGTCATTAGCCGATCTATTCAATCAATGGAAGAAAGAAAATCATCGGAGTTTGTCGGAAAATTTGCACACATTCAAGTGCCAGTGCTCCCAGACACTGGGTGCCTCATCTAAAAAGACGTCCAAAAATTTTAAAATTAAAATTGATTTTGATTTTGTAATAAATTCCGTCCGACTTTCAGCCCTACTCGGCTAGTTTTTTAGAACTATTGACAAAAAAGAGAAACTAAGGGAATAAAATATTCTTATATTTTCTAAAAGAAGGTTCCATGGCATCATTGAACCTTTTTAGCTTCATTTTTTATCTTCTTTTTCCATAAAGGTAATAAAGAAAAGGAAAATGTAAAAGTCCTCACAAAATTATGGACCAAAAAGCTCACTTTTCTGATACCAAGGACCAATTTGCAAAAAAAGGCTATATTCTTTTTGGATACCAGATTGGGCCCCCTTTACCCGGCCCAATAATTCGGGTAGGGTTTTGTTTTGCTCTCACCTAACCAACCAATTAAAAGCTGACAGCTTAACAACTCCTCGAAAAGCGTGAAGCTGCAGCTACTATATTCCACACCAAGGTACAAACTACACTGCACTTTGTACAATCACTTACTGCGTTCCTTGATTTGGCATTAGTCAAAAATTCAAGTACATTTATTCTGTCAGCATTTGTTTTTCCTAAAGGTGCGTTTGGCAGGCAGGAACAGCCGGTTTAGAAAGATTTATCAATCTTGACTTTTTCTTTAGTCAACATTATGATTCTAACGGCTTGTTTGGTAGGATTTTACCCGGTGTTAAAATTATTTTTCTACATTTAGCTTAAACTTCAAATTTTGTACCAACCACCAAACACGGCGTTAGTAACGGAAAGGCGGATCAAAAAGCTCATCACTCTTTCCCCTTCCACTCATATCACTTTGCAGAAGTACTGAGTTTTCTCACTCACTAAAAAAAAAAAATTTAATTTCGGAGAAATTATTCTTCCAAAATGAGGTCTCAGATTGCCAGATCTGCGAGGTCTTTCATCTCTGCTGCTTCTAAGCAATCATCTCGTTCGTTTTCCGGTAATTTTTATATGTTTTTTTCCCTTTTTTTTATTGGAGAAAATTGATGAAATGTGTATACTTTCAGCTCGAAATCTGTAATTGGAAAATCTGAATGCTTGATGATTTGTGTTGCACATCGGATCTTTGATTTGATTTTAGTTTCGATTGCGTTCGTTTGTGTTGTTGGAGCTTGTTCATCAATATGCTTATAAGTTGTTGACATATTAGTTGGTAGTTGGTACTCCGATCCACACACACAAAAAAAAAAGAAGCCTTTTTATGTTGGAAATCTGGAGTTTTTATGTTTTTTCGATAATGTGGATGTCCCGTTTTACGATTATAGACTTGAAAAGATTGATATGTGAAGAGGTTAATTGTGTCCCTTGGCTTTGTCCTGTCCACTATTTTCCGTTTTTCTCATATACATCCATGTATCTTTGTGTCTGAGATTGAGAGTAATCGACATCTATGATCGATTTTACCCAAAAATCGCTCGTATAAATCACATACAATTGTAATATTGTCATTTCGGTGATGGTGGTGGTCATGGGGTATTGATTAAGTTCCTCTTCCAACATACATTTGTCTCTTATATTTAGATTCAATTAGCTTGTCATATGGATTATATTACGATTTTGGAATAGCATGTTAAATTGTAAAAACGTGCCAATCTAATGCACCAAAGTTCGGAAAAAAAAAACGAGCTAATTAATTATTTTTGTATTTCAGGAGGGCGAGCAGCAGCTGCAGCGGCTGCAGTTTCAAGCCGAGGAAGAGTGGCATCCCTAGCTTCATTTGGTGCGTCCGAGTCAGGAAATGCATACAGGGGATGGATTTCTGGCGCCCTTACCCTTTCAGCAGCAGGTTTTCAAGAACACACTTTTCCCTATAAAACATGTCTTTGTGTAATATTCCGTATATGTGGTTCATTTATCTTTTTGAAAATTATTACGGGTTTTTTTCTTTAGTTCATGAAGACGTAATTAAACCGCTTAGTGAAATGGATGACTCTGGATCCGAGCATCTTTCAAACTGCTAATTCTCATATATATTTGTCGTATTTTCCTTTGTACTACAGCTTTTATGCTCCGGGAACAAGAGGCTCATGCTGCAGAGGTATATACATCCTACTGCCTTGACTTTATTTCATATGTCAGTTACTATTCGTTGCTCGTTCTACTTTGCTGACCGACTCTTCATTTATCTGTTTTTCTGGCAGCTCGAGCGAACTTTTATTGCCATCAAGCCCGATGGAGTGCAAAGAGGATTGGTATTTACTACAAAACTTTCTCTATTGAATCTTTCACCTTAAATTTAATCTAAAAGCTCGAGTTTTGGGATACTTATATGTGTTAGTAGCTTTTTATATGGTCAATACTTCGTATAATCTCTATTTCTCTTCTCCTTCGTCTTATTTAGATACATGATCATTCGGCACATTCTGACAAAATCTCTCTTTGTATCAGATCTCAGAAATTATCGCTCGATTCGAACGAAAAGGATTTAAGCTTGTTGCTGTTAAGATTGTGATTCCTTCAAAGGGCTTCGCTGAGAAGCACTATCACGACCTTAAGGAACGACCTTTCTTTAATGGCTTGTGTGATTTCCTTAGCTCTGGACCAGTCCTTGCCATGGTTAGAACTCTGCCCCTCGTATTCTTTATCTGCACATAAATTTAAAAAAAAAAAGATTGTTTAACAAAGTATATATTATGTACCGACAGGTTTGGGAAGGTGAAGGAGTGATCAAATACGGCCGTAAACTCATCGGAGCTACCGATCCTCAGAAATCGGAACCTGGAACCATCAGGGGAGATTTAGCTGTTGTGGTTGGAAGGTAAATTTCTCTAAAATTGTTGAACTAAAATTTCTTTGCTTCATTGTTCATTAAACTTGTCGTAATACCAAACAATTTTTTTATTTTTTTTATTACAGAAATATAATTCATGGTAGTGATGGACCTGAGACAGCTAAGGATGAAATCAACCTATGGTTTAAGCCCGAGGAGTTGGTCAGTTACACTAGCAATTCCGAGAAGTGGATCTATGGCGACAACTGATTATGATTGGGTGGAAGCAAAGATGGTCGGAAAATAAAATGCTAGACGAGTGATTACAGTTATTCACGACAACTACCAGCAGCTGAAAAATAAATATCAGCTGCTGCAATAATAATAATAATGTGTAACCGAATTTCTATTTTTTACGACTTCAGTCGTCACATTTTTGAATCTTATTATCGGTCGATTCTCCTTTCTTTTACACTTACACGAGAACTTCGATTATTTCCAGGAATCTGCTAACTGATCTTGAGGGTTTTTAGCCTTTCAGGTACAAATATTTATAAACAGGTACAAATATCTCTTTATTGTGTAAAATAAAAGAAATATAAATACTAATGAGTTATATAAATAAAGAAGAAAAATAGTATTTTCAGACGGGGTGCAGTATTTTATTTCTAAGATACACGAGAGACGTTTTAGAGCCTTGAAAACGTCCGGTGTTGTCGTGTGAAGGCAGCGAAAATGTTGACTTTCTTTCTCATTCACTGCTGTTTGCATCAGTAATTTTGATTAATAAAATTGGGTGATGACAATGACAATGTGAAGACTTTCTGCAAGTGGAGTACTGGAACACCATTAACCAAATCTTAGTTGTCATTAAACAGAATAGTAGTATTTTGTAAAAGCCAGTAATTGAAATTTTCAGCTGACTGCAGTATTTTATTTCTAACATATCACACTCTTGAGCTTGTTAAACAATTTATTGTTTGAATTTATAGGCGCACTCCAAATTCATTTGGTCTGATCTGCATAACTCCCTACCTATCTTCTCATATTCCAAACGATCAGCCGGAAAAGAAAAAGGAAAAACGAAGAAGAAAAATCTGCATTTCAATAAGTTGAGAAATGGCAGAGGCATTCCTTCAAATAGTTCTTGGAAAACTGAGCACATTGGTCGAAGAAGAGATTGGAAGGATTACTGGTGTCGGCGAGGAGATGAAGAAGCTCTCGAGCACACTCACCACCATTCAAGCTGTGGTCGAAGATGCTGAAATGAAGCAGATTGAAAGCAAGGCCGTACAAAATTGGCTACTCAAGCTTAACGACCTTATCTACGAGATCGACGACATATTGGATGAGTATGCAACAGAAATCTCTAAACTGAAGCAGAAAAACAGAAGATTCGGTCGCTATAAACCGATGCAGCTTCTGTTTCGACGCAAAATCGGGACAAGGATGAATGAAGTTTTAGAAAAATTGGACGCGGTTGCTGCTGAGCGTGCAAAGTTCCATTTGCGCGAGATGGCTTTTCTGGAGAGGCCAACCGAGGTGGCCGCCGCCGCGTCCGCACGTGAGACTGGTTCCATTCTGAATAAGTCTCAGGTTTATGGTAGGGAAGAAGATACGGCGAAGGTTGTTGACATCTTGGTCAACCAGGTCAACGACAATGAAGAAATCTCCATCCTGCCCGTTATTGGTGTTGGAGGCCTTGGCAAAACGACTTTTGCTCAATTAGTCTACAACGATGAACGGGTCGTCCGACATTTTGAAAAAAGAATTTGGGTTTGTGTCTCCGACAATTTCGACGTCAAGACTTTGTTGAAAGCTATGATTGAGTCTTGGTCGTCCGAAAGTGCTTCGGACTTGGTGCACTTGGACACTTTACAACGCCGACTCTGGGGGGTGTTGAACAACAAGAGGTACTTGCTTGTACTGGACGATGTTTGGAACGAAGATCAAGAGAGGTGGTGCGAGTTGAAAAAAGTTGTGGCGTGTGGCTCGACCGGGAGTTCGATTATCGTCACCACACGCCTCAAAAAGGTTGCTGATATTATGAGAACACTTCCATCACATCAGTTGACGGGGTTGTCGGACGAGAATTGTTGGATGCTGATGCGGGAACGTGCATTCGGACAGGAGAGAGAGGAATATCCCAACCTGGAAGCCATTGGAAAGAAGATAGCGAACAAGTGTGCTGGTGTTCCTTTAGCCGCCAAGGCGCTCGGAGGTTTGTTGCGGTTTAAAAGAGACGAGAAGGAATGGAATTACGTGAAAGAAAGTGAAATATGGGAATTACCGGAGGAAGAAACTCTGATACTGCCAGCTCTGAGGTTGAGTTATCGTCATCTTCCTTTAGCATTAAGACCGTGTTTTGCTTATTGTGCAGTCTTTCCGAAGGATTCTCGTATTGAGAAACGAGAACTGATCTTTATGTGGATGGCGCATGGATATATTTCATCGAGGGGAGCGTTGGAAGTCGAGGATGTCGGCAACGAAGTATGCAACGAGCTAGTTTTGAGATCCCTTTTGCACTATGTTCCAAATCCAGTTACAAAAAAACTCGACTTGATTATGCACGACCTTCTTCACGATCTCGCCCTCTCAATAATGGAGAACAAAATTCCTGGAAGACAAGTCCAAAGGACAAGTGTCGGAAGTTATGCATTTGATAACAAAATCCGCCAGGTAAATTTACGGAAAAAAATTGTTGCGTTTCCTACGAGTAATCAAATCGAGATGGACATGTACTTCATCTTAAAAAACTTTTCTCGTTTGAGAGTATTAGATGCAAGTAAGACAAGGATAAACGAACCGCTTTCTGCAGTGGGCAATTTGATACATTTGAGACACTTGAATTTTTCAGGAACTGAGATATGTAGCCTACCCGAGTCACTATGTAGTCTGTGGAATTTGCATGTTTTGAATTTGGATAGCTGCAAAAATCTCGAGGCTTTGCCAAAGAAAACGAGGTACTTGGTTAATCTCCGTCATCTGTTTTTGGAAGATTGTGACTCGTTGAGGGAGATGCCATCCAAGATTAGAGAACTTACGAATCTCGTAACGTTGAGTCAGTTTGTAGTGGGTGGTGTTGGTAGAGGTGACGAACTTGAGGAATTGCAACGCTCGAACCTCGGCGGCAAACTTAAACTTAGTCACCTAGAGAGAGTGAAAAACCCTATGGATGCAAAGAAAGCAAATCTTGCCGAGAAAACGAACCTTCTTCATTTGAAGTTGCATTGGTTATGGGAATCGATGGAAGAGGATATAGCTATAGACGAGAAGGTGTTGGAAGCACTTGAACCTCACCCAAATCTGGAAACTTTAGATATAAAGGGATTCAGGGGTAGGTGTTTTCCAGTTTGGATATCGAGTTCAACTCTGAACAAACTAGTCGGGATCGAGATAACATTTTGTCATAAATGTTTGCGTCTTCCACAACTTGGTGAGCTACCTCGTCTTAGAACCTTGACGTTATATAATATGGCGAGGTTGGAGTACGTTATTGAGGAGGAGGAAGTAGTTCAAAGTGGAAGCGCACGACAGTTCGCATCTCTGGAAACACTGTACTTGAGGTTTCTCCCCAGAATCAAAGGATTCGTAAAAGAGCAAGCGACGACGAGATCAACCGAAGCATTCCCGAATCTCGAGTATCTATTTGTTGAAGGCTGCTCTTCGTTAACACTGCCGCCACTCTCGACCTTCTTTAAGAAGTTGAAGATACTGAATTGCGGGATACTCTTAGCCGCTTCGTTGTCCAAGGCGGACCTGCGCAATCTAACCTATCTTTCCGTTGACTTTGAAGAGAACAGCGTCGAAACATGTACCATCACAGTCGAGGCACTGCAAAGCCTTACGAATCTCAAGCTATTAGGGATTTGCAGAGCATACGCAAACGGCCTCTCTTTGCCCGAACAAGGGCTGCAACACCTCACTGCTCTGGAGGAACTACACATATTCAAATGCCGAGAACTTGAAGAGTTGCCGCCCGAGGGGTTTAAACACCTCAGCTGCCTTAGAAAGGTATACCTACGTTATCTTCCAAAGATGGTAAGTGTACCCAAAGCCTTGCGGCACCTCTCGTCCTCGCTCGAATATCTAAGCCTAACCGGCCTACCTCAGCTGAGTTCGCTGCCGGACTGGTTGGTCGATTTGACATCTCTTTTAACTCTGGGTATTTATAAATGCCCGAATGTAGCATCGGTTCCAGCTAGTATCCGAGGAATGACAAATCTCCGGTGTCTGACCGTGAGGGAGTGCCCGGAATTGGAAAGGAGATGTGAGAGAGAAACGGGGGCGGACTGGCACAAGATCTCACATATTCCCCACCTGCAAATTGGTGAACAATAGTAGCATTCCTTGTATGGCAACCATGCAATACCAAGTTACCAACACCTCTTTGTAAATTAACTTGGATTTATATATAGCCTTTGCTTGTATGGAATTTTTTCTCGTCATTTTCGATACTTGTGTAAAATTATGGACTTCTTTTTTGTTTTTCGAAATTGTATTCTAGTGTTCGCCCGCTCTTTTCCTTGTTCTGGCCAACAAGGTTTCGGGCAGCTCGAGCGAACTTTTATTGCCATTAAGCCCGATGGAGTGCAAAGAGGATTGGTATTTATTACAAAACTCTCTCTATTGAATCTTTCACCGTAAATCTGATCTAAAAGATTGATTTTTGGGATACTTATACGTATTAGTAGCTTTTTATATGGTTAATTCTTCGTACAATCTCTATTATCTCCTCTCCTTCATCTTATTTGGATACATGATCATTCGGCACATAAATTAAAAAAAATATTGTTTAACAAAGTATATATAATATGTACCGACATGTTTGGGAAGGTGAAGGAGTGATCAAATACGGCCGTAAACTCATTGGAGCTACCGTTCCTCAGAAATCGGAACCTGGAACCATCAGAGGAGATTTAGCTGTTGTGGTTGGAAGGTAAATTCCTCTAAAATTATGGAACTAAAATTTCTTTGTTTCATTGTTCATTAAACTTGTGGTAATACCGAACATTTTTTTATTTTTTTTATTACAGAAATATAATTCATGGTAGTGATGGACCTGAGACAGCTAAGGATGAAATCAACCTATGGTTTAAGCCCGAGGAGTTGGTCGGTTACACTAGCAATTCCGAGAAGTGGATCTATGGCGACAACTGATTATTATTGGGTCGAAGCCAAAATGCTCGGAAAATAAAATTCTAGACGAGTGATTACAGTTATTCACGACAAACTACCAGCAGCTGAAAAACCAGCTGCTGCAACAATAATAATAATGTGTAACCGAATTACTCAAACATGAGGGTTTTTTTTTTCGTAATTTGACCGTACCTCACACACCGACGATAATTTACCCTACAATATACTTTAAGCTAATAACAATATATATTCTACAAACTCAACTACCTAACCTATCTCCCCAATTTCCACCGTCAATTCAAATCTCACCTGCACCAATAGAAAAAAAAATAATAATAATAATTTGCAAGTTGCAATAGAAAATGCAAAAAGAAAAGGTATTTGTATTTTTCATGCATGCATTGCCCAAGAGTGGTTATGTTTTTCTTTTCTTAATTGATTAGAAACAAAAGAGTGGTTAGATAGATCAACTTATTCAAACAAAATACTTTATTAACAACAAATACTATTTTATTTCCAACACATCACATTCTTAAACATGTCGTCAATTTGATGTTTGACTCCTCCAAATACATTTGGTCTGATAAAAACATCAAGATCTATCTGCATATAATTCACAAACAAAAAAACAAAGAAAAAAAAAGAAAAAAAAAAGAAATCTCAGAGTTTTTCTGCATTTTAATTGGTTTAGAAATGGCAGAGGCATTGCTTCTGTTACGAAAAGAATTGAGATGAAAATAATGTGTCTTCTTCTCAATAGAGGTGAGGGTATATACACACAAAATAACAAGCTATACAAGGAAACCTAATCAAATCAAATCCCTAAATTATGGATATAGAATATTAACATATCTAATCAAATCCCATAATAATGGATATAATATATATGATATCATAATATAATATAATATATATTAACATCCCCTCAAACTCAAGTTGGGTCAACAGAGACCAAATTGAGTTTGGAAACGAGTGTGTTGAATCGACTTGGTGGGTGCACCTTGGTGAAAAGGTCAGCAGTTTGGGCAGCGGACGTAATGTACTGAAGGCGAAGAGTATTGTGTATCAAATGATGGCGAACAAAGTGACAATCATTCTCAATATGTTTGGTCCGCTCATGGAAAACATCGTTGTGAGCAATCTGAATAGCACTTTGATTGTCACAATGAATAATTGTTGCACTTTGGTGTGATACACCCATGCCAGTAAGCAACCACCGAAGCCATAATAACTCTGAAGTAGTGTCTGCTAATGCTCGATACTCAGATTCAGTACTAGAACGAGAGACAATAAATTGTTTCTTACTGCGCCAAGAGATCAAATAATCTCCAAGAAAAAAACAATAACCAGTGATGGATCGTCGATCGGTAGGATCACCAGCCCAGTCAGCATCAGAATAAACAGACAACATCAGCGAGGACTGAGCTGAGAAATGAAGACCATGAAATATAGTACCTTTTACGTAGCGAAGTATATGAAGAACGACGGAGAAATGAGTAGATCGTGGAGCCGCCATAAACTGACTAACATGATGAACAGCGTAAGCGATGTCAGGACGAGTAACAGTGAGATAAATGAGACTTCCAACCAACTGTCGGTAGAGAGTAGCATCAGCAAGTAGAGTTCCATCCCTAGGAGTAAGTCGAGTATTCATCTCTAGATGAGTGGAAGCAATCTTGGTATCTGTAATTCCTGCGCGGGAGAGAAGATCAGCAGCATACTTAGCTTGAGAAAGGTAGTAACCATCAGAAGCAGTGGTGATCTCAAGCCCCAAAAAATAACTGAGAGTTCCAAGATCCTTCATTTCAAAATGATGGTAAAGAGACTGTTTGAGAGACTCAATGCCTGTAAGATCATCACCAGTAATGATCATATCATCAACATAAAGCAGTAGAAAAATAACCCATGTATCAACTTTACGAATGAAAAGTGCTGAGTCATAAGAGCTACTCGTGAAGCCAAGCTGGGAGATCGTGTTACTGAATTTCTCAAACCAAGCACGGGGTGCTTGTTCAGACCATGCAATGCCCTTCTCGAAGGTGACACACCTGTCCAGAAGTATGAGGGAATCCAGGAGGGGGTTTCATATACACCTCTTCTTGCAGATCACCATGAAGGAAAACATTTTTTACGTCCATCTGAAATAAATACCATTTCCGAATAGCAGATATGGCAATGAGACTGCGAACAGTGGGTAATCGAGCAACAAGAGCAAATGTTTCCTCATAATCAACACCGTATTCTTGGTTGAAACCTTTGGCAACCAAACGAGCTTTATAACGTTCAATAGACCCGTCAGAACGGGTTTTAACTTTAAAAATCCATTTGCAACCAATAGGAGTCTTACCCTTCGGAAGATCAACTAGATCCCAAGTTTCAGTCTTATGCAACACATCAAGTTCATCAGATATTGCTTGTTGCCACTGAGAGTCAGTTTGTGCCTCTCGATAGGATTGAGGTTCATGAAGAGAAAGAATGGCAGAAAAACAATGAAAATCACGTAAATGAGAGGGTATATGTCTTACCCGAGTTGAACGACGAACAGATTCCTCAGAAATACTAGGATCAGTTTCATTGACAGGATCCTCAGTAGGGGTAGAACCAGATGAAATAGACACATCCGCAGTGGTCGAAGTACTTGATGTCTCAACAAGAACCGAAGGATCCGAAGTTAAGGGTGATTGAGAATTAATGGGTTCTGTTTCGGATGGAAAAAGTTCACATGAAGGATTCGTGAAAAAAAGAGTAGAGTGTGACATTCTAAACTTAGACACAGAGGCAAACATTGTGTCTTCCCAGAAGACAACATGACGAGAAATACGAAGACGATTGGAAATTGGATCCCAACAACGATAACCTTTATGTTCAATGCCATATCCCAGAAAACAACATAATCGAGTCCTAGGTTCAAGTTTATTATGCTCATGGGGTTGAAGAAGAATAAAACAAGCACACCCAAACACTTTCAGAGTTGAATAATCAGGAGATTGCCCATGAAGAAGAGAATAAGGTGTCTCATTTTTAATTACAGGTGAAGGGACACGGTTTATGGTGTATACGACTGTAAGAGCAGCTTCACCCCAGAGTGATTCGGGACAAGAGGCTGAAAGAATTAAAGAGCGAGTAGAATTTAGAATATAACGGTGTTTTCTTTCGACTTTTCCATTTTGTTGATGAGTGCCTGGGCAAGATCTTTGAACAAGAGTCCCATCAGAATGGAAAATATCATATAGATGTGAATCACGATATTCCATGGCATTATCCGTTTGAAAACCTTAATGACTTTTGAGAATTGAGTTTGAACCATTTTGGCAAAGGTCTTATAGATAGAGGTGAGTTCAGAACGATTACAGAATAATTATATCCATGTATATCGAGAAAAATCGTCAATAAAAATGACAAAGTATTTGGATCCACCCATAGTAGCAGTTGGTGATGGACCCCAAATATCTGAATGAATTAAATCAAAAGGGGCAGTAGAAACATGAGAACTTTTATTGAAAGATAGTGCTGGTTGTTTGGCCGGTTGACAGGAAATACACTTTAAATCAAATCAAATCCCTAAATTATGGATATAGAATATTAACATATCTAATCAAATCCCATAATAATGGATATAATATATATGATATCATAATATAATATAATATATATTAACAAAGTAGTTCTTGCAAACCTGAGCACACTGATCGAAGATGAGTTTGCACTGATTACGGGTGTCGGTGAGGAGATGAAGAAGTTTTCGAGCACACTTTCCACCGTTAAAGCAGTGGTCGAAGATGCTGAAATGAAGCAAATCGAAAGCAAGCCCATTCAGGATTGGCTACTCAAGCTTAACGAACTTATGTACGAGATCGATGACCTATTGGATGAGTATGCAACAGAAACCTCTAAGCTGAAGTAGAAAAACAGCAAATTCGGCCGCTATACGCTGAAGCAGATTCTTTTCCGGCACAAAATCGGGACAAGGATAAACGAAGTTTCACAAAAATTGGACGAGGTTGCTGCAGAGCGTGCAAAGTTCCATTTGCGCGAGATGGCGTTTCGAGAGAGGCCAATTGAGGTGGCTGCCGCACGTGAGACCGGTTCCATTCTGAACGAGTCTTATCATCAAGTTTATGGTAGAGAAGAAGACGCGGAGAAGATTGTTGATATCTTGGTCAACCAGGTCAACGACAACGACGAAATCTCCATCCTGCCCATTATTGGTGTTAGAGGACTTGGCAAGACTACTTTAGCTCAATTAGTCTACAACGATCGACGGGTCGTTGACCATTTCGACGAAAGAATTTGGGTTTGTGTCTCTGATAATTTCGATCTCAAGACCTTGGTGAAAGCCATGATCGAATCTCGGGCTGACAGTGCTCCGGACTTGTCGCGCTTGGACACTTTACAGCGTTGACTCTGGGAGTTGCTGAACAACAAAATGTACTTGCTTGTATTGGATGATGTGTGGAATGACGATCAAGAGAAGTGGTTTGAGTTAAAAAAAGTAGTTGCATGTGGCTCCACTGGGAGTTCGATTATCGTCACCACACGCCTAAAAAAAAATGCAGATATAATGAGAACACTTCCATCACATCTGTTGACAGGGTTGTCGAAACAATACTGTTGGATGCTGCTCCGAGAACGCGCATTCGGACAGGAGAACGAGCAATTTCCCAAGCTTGAAGCCATAGGGAAGCAGATTGCGAACAAGTGTGCTGGTGTTCCTTTGGCTGCTAAGGCGCTTGGAGGTCTGTTGCGTTTTAAGAGGGAAGAGAAGGATTGGAATCATGTCAAAGAAAGTGAAATATGGGAACTACCACAAGAAGAAAATTTGATACTGCCAGCCTTGAGATTGAGCTACCACCATCTTTCTTTGGCGTTGAGACAATGTTTTGCTTATTGCGCTATCTTTCCCAAGGGTTCTCGTATTAAGAAAAAAAAAAATGATCTATATGTGGATGGCGCATGGATATATGTCATCAAGGGGAGCACTGGAAGCGGTGGATGTTGGCAATGATATATGTGATGAGCTAGTTATGCGGTCCATTTTGCAATATGATTCCGATGCAAATACAACCACTTTGATTATGCATGATCTTCTTCATGACCTCGCCCAGTCAATCATGGAGAACAAAATTCCTGGAGCACAAGTCCAGAGGACGAACGTCAGAAGTGCATCTCGCAGCAAAATCCGCCAGGTAAATCTACGAAAAAAGTTTGTGGCCTTCCCTTCGAGTTATAAATCAGAGATGGATATGTCTTTCATCTTAAAAAACTTTTTCAGTTTGAGAATATTAGATGCAAGTAAGATAAGAATGAATTAATTGTCTTCTGCAGTATGCAGTTTGAAACATTTGCGGAACTTGAATTTGTCTGGAACTGAAATTCGTAGGCTACCCGACTCAGTATGTAGTCTATGGAACTTGCATGTTTTGAATTTGGAACTGCAAAAAGCTTGAGGCTTTACCGAAGAAGATGAGGTACTTAATTAATCTCCGTCATCTATTCTTGGAATATTGTGACTCGTTAAGGGGGATGCCATCTAAAATTGGAGAACTTAGTAGCCTTAGAACATTGAGTAAGTTCATAGTGGGTCGTGATGGAGGTAGACGACTTGAGGAATTGCAACGGTTGAAGTTGGGCGGCAATCTTAAAATTCATCATCTGGATAGGGTGAAAGACCCTATGGATGCAGAGAAAGCCAATCTTGCCGATAAAGAAAATCTTCGTTGTCTGGGTTTGGATTGGGGAAGTAATGGCAAGCATGCACTAAAATCAGGGGAGGAAGATTTAGATATAGATGAGAAGATGTTGGAAGCACTTGAACCTCATCCAAATCTCGAAATTTTTGAGATAAGGGCATTCATGGGTAGGTGTTTACCGGTTTGGATGTCGAATTCAACTCTGGACAAAGTAGTTGAAATTCATCTAATAAACTGTAACAATTGCTTGCGCCTACCGCAGCTGGGAAAGCTACCCCGTCTTAAAAAAATGAGTTTAGCTACTCTGACGGCGCTGGAGTACGTTATCGAGGAAGAAGTAGTTCGGAGTGGAAATGCATTAGTAAGCGCTAGACAATTCCCATCTCTGGAAAAACTGAGTTTGAGATATCTCCCCAACATCAAAATGTTGATACAAGAGCAAGTGATGATGAGATTATCTGAAGCATTCTCGAATCTCGAGGAGCTATACGTCGAACGCTGCCCTTCGTTAATACTGCCACCACTGTCGACGTCCTTTACAAAGTTGAATAAATTGACGTGCACGAAACTCTTACTGTCTTCATTGTCCAATGCGGACCTGCACAACCTTACGAATCTTCAAGTGATTTTCGAGGAGGAGAATAGTGGCGACGCATGTACCGTTGGAGTTGAGACACTGCAAAGCCTCACCAATCTCAAGATATTGAGTATTGGCACAACAGATACAACCGAACTCTCTCTGCCCGAACAAGGGCTGCAACACCTCACTGCTCTGGAGGAACTGTACATACTCAAATGCCCGGCGCTTGTAGAGCTGCCGGATGGTATTAAACACCTCCACCGCCTTCACACGGTATTGCTACGCGACCTACCGAAGATGGTGAGTGTACCCAAACCCTTGCAACACCTCTCGTCCTCACTCAAAAGTCTACAAATGTACGAGCTCCCTCAGTTGAGTTCACTGCCGGACTGGTTCGGAGATTTAACATCTCTTAAAGAACTGTTCATTCACGATTGCCCAAAGATAGCATCACTTCCGGATAGTATCCGAAGAATGACAAATCTCCAATATCTGCAAGTGTGTGGATGCCCGGAATTGGAAAAGAGATGCGAGAGAGCAAAGGGGGAGGACCGGCACAAGATACAACATATTCGCTACTTGTACATTAGTAGTAGTTCGTGATTACAAATTGTCACCGTGTAATTATATGGATTTTTCTTTTGCAATTTTCGGTACTTTCGTAACTGCTCAACTCATTATATAGCATAGACAGGATTTTTCTTTCTTTTTTATGTATTATATTCTAGGGGTTTTTCGAAATTGTATTTAGGGGTACTCTTTTCCTTGTTCCGACCAACAAGGTTTTTAACGAGGTCCCCATGTTCTTTTATATGAAATAAAATTTCCTTTTTTGGCCAAAATAAATAAAAATTCTTTCAACTTGTCTATTTCCACTCTGAATTTTCTTCCATGCTTCTTTGTCATAAGCTATTGAAAACAAGATGATCTGGTATTGCAGTATATGCTGATGATGAGTTTTTTCTAGGAGTGAAACTAATGAACAAATATTGCCTTTCCTTTCGGCATTCTATTATGTTGTTTCACTTTTACTTGTATATGTAGTTAGATAATGTGTTGATTTCTACAGATACATCGTTTTGAGGAAACTACTTCTTGTTGATCTAGCCCGCATTAGTGTAGTTCAACTGATTCCGTAGGTGGTAAGTTGGTGCAAGGTCCTAGGATCGGATCATGGCAGCCGCAGTTTATGCTGCACGGACACGGATACGTGGACACGACGATACGCGGATACGGACACGGTGATACAACATTTCCAAAAAACTAGGATACGGACACGCGGGGATACGCGTAAATATAAAAAATATAGGTATATATTTATAAATAATAAAAATATAGGGGTACATTTATAAATTGTAAAAAATATGTATAAGTCGTCATGCATAAGAGAACCGCTCACCCTTGTTCGTGTTCTTGGTCGCCGTCGCATGCTAGACTTTTGGAGTTTTGGATGGACTCACAAAGAAAACAGAGGAAATATGTATCTTATATATAAAAGAAAGAAACGCTGGGCAACCCTAAAAAACCCTAATGGTATTTCTGTAATTATTTATTTTTAATATTTTTTCTCTACTAATTTCTAACTATAATTTTTAACAATTATCAAAATTAAAACTAACCCGTAAAGAATCCTATCTTATTGCTATTTATGTAATTATTTATTTTTAATATTTTTTATATACTAATTTTTTAACTATAATTTTCAACAATTATTGATCTCCTAATTTTCATCAATATATCTCAAATCTTAATAGATAAAGTTAGAAATTCAATATGAATAATATTACATTATTAAATTTTATTATATTAGTATACTATATTTTCTTATTATATATTAAATTGATTATTTTTTTCACTATTTAAATAATATCCCATGCATCGCACGGGGGAAAAATGCTCGTTACAGAGAAAAGAAAATACGCATTTTTTTTCATTAGGGTTCTCTCTTAAAACGCAAGAGAAGTGTCCCAACTTTTTTAAAATTGTAGACACTGCCCGATACGGGTGTCCTACTTTTAGCGAAATTAAGACACGGCTCGACACGGGTGTCCGAGAAGTGTTCGGGTGTGTCCGAGTGTCCAGGTGTCGGATACGGGGACTCTGGCCGTTGAGTTACCATGATTTACATTCCTCCATCAATCATTGTCGGGCCAAGGAATGGAACCCTGGGGACGAGGGATTTCGCCTTTTGGTGCAAGCTTCTTGTTGATCTACACGCGCCTTTAATTTGATATTAGTTTGATTGCCGTTTGTTTGGGTCGTTGGAGCTTGTTCATCAATATGTTGTTGGCATGTTGGTACTCAATTTTTCCTTATATTCAGATTTTTTTGCCGGAAAATTCATGTTCAAAAAACCTTTTGTCTGTTTATCCCACCAACTTCAAGTAACAACCATATAAAAAAAAAAAAAAAAAACAAAACAAAATTACCGGCCACCTCATATTTTCTATATTGTTATCTTGTCAAATAAATTTACTATATTGTATGCTAAAATATGTCCTATTCACCACCCAATATTAAAGTAAGCTTACAAACTCAACTACTCATCTCCCCAATTAATTTCCACCGTCTATTCAAAGCTCACCTGCACTAATAGAAAAAATATATATGATCTGCAAGTTGCAATAGAAAATGCAAAAAAAGTATCTTTTTTTTTTTTTTTTAGGCAACGTAGTCAATATTGGAGACTTCAGCTTTGAACGCGGCGCCCACATGCATTCGTTGCCCAAGAGTGGTTTTTTTTTTGATAGGAGTTGCCCAAGAGTGGTTAGATAGATCAACTTATTCAAACAAAATATTACTACTTTATTAACAACAATTACTATTTTATTTCCAACACATCACATTCTTAAACATGTCGGCCATTTGTTGTTTGAGTACTCCAAATGCATTTGATCTGATAAAATACATCAAGATCTCTACATATAATTAAGCTCCCAATCACACAAAAAAAAAAAAAAAAAAAGGAAATCTCAGAGTTTTTCTGCATTTTAATTATTGGTTGAGAAATGGCAGAGGCATTGCTTCAAGTAGTTCTTGCAAACCTGAGCACACTGATCGAAGATGAGTTTGCACTGATTACGGGTGTCGGTGAGGAGATGAAGAAGCTGTCGAGCACACTTTCCACCGTTCAAGCAGTGGTCGAAGATGCTGAAATGAAGCAAATCGAAAGCAAGCCCATTCAGGATTGGCTACTCAAGCTCAACGACCTTATCTATGAGATTGATGACTTATTGGATGAGTATGCAACAGAAACCTCTAAGCTGAAGCAGAAAAACAGCAAATTCGGCCGCTACACGCCGAACCAGATTCTTTTCCGGCACAAAATCGGGACAAGGATAAACGAAGTTTCAGAAAAATTGGACGAGGTTGCTGCAGAGCGTGCAAAGTTCCATTTGCGCGAGATGGCGTTTCGAGAGAGGCCGATCGAGGTGGCTGCCGCACGTGAGACCGGTTCCATTCTGAACGAGTCTCATCGTCAAGTTTATGGTAGAGAAGAAGACGCGGAGAAGATTGTTGACATCTTGGTCAACCAGGTCAACGACAACGACGAAATCTCCATCCTGCCCATTATTGGTGTTGGAGGCCTTGGCAAGACTACTTTTGCTCAATTAGTCTACAACGATCGGCGGGTCGTTGACCATTTCGACGTAAGAATTTGGGTTTGTGTCTCTGATAATTTCGATCTCAAGACCTTGGTGAAAGCCATGATCGAATCTCGGGCTGACTGTGCCCCGGACTTGTCGCGCTTGGACACTTTACAGCGTCGACTCTGGGAGTTGCTGAACAACAAAAGGTACTTGCTTGTATTGGATGATGTGTGGAACGAAGATCAAGAGAAGTGGTGTGAGTTGAAAAAAGTTGTTGCATGTGGCTCGAATGGGAGTTCGATTATCGTCACCACACGCCTTAAAAAAGTTGCTGATATAATGAGAACGCTTCCATCACATCAGTTGACGGGGTTGTCGAAACAATACTGTTGGATGCTGCTCCGAGAACGCGCATTCGGACAGGAGAACGAGCGATTTCCCAATCTGGAAGCCATTGGGAAGCAGATTGCGAACAAGTGTGCTGGTGTTCCTTTGGCTGCAAAGACGCTTGGAGGTCTGTTGCGTTTTAAGAGGGAAGAGAAGGATTGGAATCATGTCAAAGAGAGTGAAATATGGGAACTACCACAAGAAGAATATTCGATACTGCCAGCCTTGAGATTGAGTTACCACCATCTTCCTTTGGCATTGAGACAATGTTTCGCTTATTGCGCTATCTTTCCCAAGGGTTCTCGTATTAAGAAACAAGAATTGATTTATATGTGGATGGCGCATGGATATATGTCATCAAGGGGAGCACTGGAAGCGGAGGATGTTGGCAATGATATATGTGATGAGCTAGTTCTACGGTCCATTTTGCAATATGATTCCGATGCAGATACAACTACTTTGATTATGCATGATCTTCTTCATGACCTCGCCCAATCAATCATGGAGAACAAAATTCCCGGAGCACAAGCCCAAAGGACGAACGTCAGAAGTGCATCTCACAGCAAAATCCGCCAGGTAAATTTGCGAAAAAAGTTAGTTGCCTTTCCTACTGGTAGTCAATCGGAGATGGACATGTCCTTTATCTTAAAGAATTTCTTTCGTTTGAGAATATTAGATGCAAGTTGGACGGGGATAAATGAACTGTCTTCCGCAGTTGGCAATTTGAAACATTTGCGACACTTGAATTTGTCTGGAACTGAAATCCGTAGCCTACCCGACTCGTTATGTAGTCTATGGAATTTGCATGTTTTGAATTTAGATGACTGCGAAAAACTTGAGGTTTTACCGAAGAAGATGAGGTACTTAATTAATCTCCGTCATCTATTTTTGGAAAATTGTGACGCATTGAGGGAGATGCCATCTAAAATTAGAGAACTAACACGCCTTCAAACATTGAGTGCGTTCATAGTGGGTCGTGACAGAGGTCAAGGACTTGAGGAATTGCAATGGTTGAAGCTGGGCGGCAATCTTAAAATACATCATCTGGACAGGGTGAAAGACCCTATTGATGCAAAGAAAGCAAATCTTGGTAAAAAAGAAAATCTCCGTCGTTTGTTTTTGGATTGGGGAAGTAATGCCGAGTATTTAGTAAGATCATGGGAAGAAGGTATAGAAATGGATGAGAAGTTGTTGGAGGCACTTGAACCTCATCCAAATCTTGAAACTTTACTCATAAGGGGATTCAAGGGTAGGTGCTTTCCAGTTTGGATGTCGAATTCAACTCTAGACAAACTAGTCGAAATTATTCTATTACGTTGTCATAACTGTTTGCATCTTCCACAACTCGGAGAGTTGCCTCATCTTAAAAAACTGATTTTAACTCATATGGAGAATTTGGAGTACATTCTTGAGGAAGCAGCAGTAGTTCGAAGTGGAAATTCACTATTAAGCCCATCACAACCGTTCCCATCTTTGGAAACACTGGATTTACGGTATAGCCCCAACATCAGAGGATTGATAAAAGAGCAAGTGACGATGGGATCAGTTAAAGCATTCCCAAATCTCGAGGTGCTATACGTCGAAGGCTGCTCTTCGTTAATACTGCCACCGCTCTCAACGTCCTTTAAAAAGTTGAAGATATTGTATTGCGGGATACTATTACTGGCTTCTGTGCCCAAGGCGGACCTGCTCAATCTCACTAAGCTTTTCGTTAACTTGGAGGAGAATACTGTCGGGACGTGTACTCTTACATTGGAGACACTGCAAAGCTTCACCAACCTCAAGTCATTGGGTATCTACAATGCGGCCGGTGAACTATCTCTGCCCGAACAAGGGTTGCAACACCTCACCGCTCTGGAGGAATTGTACGTATTCGAATGCCCACAACTTGTGGAGCTGCCAGAGGAGATTAAACACATCCCCCGCCTTAAAACAGTAACGTTGCAAAATCTTCCAAAGATGGCGTGTCTACCTGAATCCTTGAAACACCTCTCATCCTCATTCCACTGTCTAGAACTAGTCAACCTTCATCAGCTGAGTTCATTGCCGGACTGGTTTGGCGATATGACTTCTCTTGAGGAACTGTATATCGATGAATGCCCGAAGCTAGCATCGTTTCCGACTAGTATCCGGCGAATGACAAACCTCCGATATCTGACTGTGAAAAAATGCCCGGAACTCGAAAGGAGATGCGAGAGAGCAAATGGGGAGGACTGGCACAAGATACAACATGTTCGCCACCTGCTAATCGGTGAACAATTGTGATTACTGGAAACCCGTCATCCAAGTAATTATTATCGAATTTTTTCCATACTTTTGTAACTGCTTTCAACTCATTATAAGATATCATAGATATATGATTCTCCTTTCCTTTTTTTTTTTTTTTTTTTTAATATGTATTCGAAGCTCATTTACTTGGAATTTCAGCTTCTTTGATTAGCTTTTCTTCCATGTTGTATCTCTGTTTGATAATCTCCGACCAGAATCTGTTGTTCTTGCTATTTGTATATATATATATATATATATATATATATATATATATATATATATATATATTGCTATTATTTAGTGCTTTATATGGCTGAAGAAACATGACCTGGTGGTGAGTATATATGCCAAGGATTATGATTTTGTTTGAAGTATATTCCAAAAAGAAGGCTTCATTGCAATTAGTACCCTTATGTTAGATCGAATTACTGAAAAACTACCTTTTGTTATTGGGTAAATTTCACTTTCACCCCTTGTACTTTGGCTCGATATCACGTTACCTGCTTCTACTATCGATTATATCGATTTGCCCCTCTGCATTTGAAAAATTGTCTCAATGTGACCCCGATGTCAGTTTTCAAACTTTTGACCTTAACACCGTTTGGTCTAATATCTGAAAATTACAAAAAAACCCACTCCTCCAAATTTAAATAATTATAAAAATAAAAATAAATTGTGATTGCCGTTGTGGACTATGTTTTCTCATTGTCTTGAGTTATTTTATTTTATTGTTTTGTTCTTTTAATTATTATTTAAACTGGGAGGGGTGACGTTTTTGTAATTTCATAGTTTAGACCACACGGTGTTAAGGTTAAATATCTGACAACTAACATCAGGGGGCTCATTGAGACAAATTTTCAAGTGCAATGGGCAAATCGATGCAATCAAGAGTACAATGAGGTAAAGTGACACCAAACCAAAGTACATGGGGGAAAGTGGAATTTGCCCTTTGTTATTTTATTTGCAAAATTATCATATGATTCAACTTTTTTAGCATGCAAGTGCCTAAACAAGGTACTAATTGATAAAAAAATTAAGGACAAAGTTCACTTTGCACCATTGAATTATGAGTTATGTCACATACATGCCCCTCAATTACGAAACGTACCAAATACCTTCCTCGTATTTTTTGGTTAAACTTACAAAAATATAAAATGTTTCCTTGAATAATTACAATCTTACCCCATAGACTAAGTACTAAAATTTCATATATGTTTTGAATGTTTTGTATACGAATTGCTCAAGAATTATAGTACTATACACATACTAAATTTTTAGTAATGTTTTGTAATCTTACCCCACCTTTAATCGTAGTATTTTTTATTTTGGCTGAAATATTTCTAAGTACTAAATTCGCATATTTTTTCCATAGACTAAATGGGGGGGGGGGGGGGGGGGGGCAGATTGTAATTGCTCAAGAAAACATTACAAAACTAGTGTCCTTAGATTTTGTAAGTTTGACCAAAAAATATAGGGGTGTATTTGGTACCTTTAGTGATTGAGGGGTGTGTATGCATCATATCCCATAATTCATGAGTGCAAAGTGAACTTTGCCCAAAAATTAAACCATAAGGGAATATTTGGGGGCAGATTGTAATTGCTCAAGAAAACATTACAAAACTAGTGTCCTTAGATTTTGTAAGTTTGACCAAAAAATATAGGGGTGTATTTGGTACCTTTAGTGATTGAGGGGTGTGTATGCATCATATCCCATAATTCATGAGTGCAAAGTGAACTTTGCCCAAAAATTAAACCATAAGGGAATATTTGCCAATAAAATTACATGAAGTAATTTTTTCAGAAATTTGATATAATAGAGGGGTACTAATTGCAATAAACTGGAAAAAAAAAGTGTTTTAACCAAAGCATCTTGCACTATATACGACCATATTACACAAGGAAGCTATCTTATTTTCTTGATAATATTTTCTCAATAATAATTTTAGGGTAAATTCCACTTTACCCCTTGTACTCTGCCCAAGAATCACTTTACTCCTCGTACTCTTAATTTCATCGATTTACCCCCTTGTACTTGTAAAATTTCCCAATACAACCCTCTTCGTCAACTTTTTTCGATTTTGACTCTGACCCATTTGGTCAAGAGTCAAAATATTGACGTAAATATTGAATTTTTTCGATTTTGACTCTCGAGATTAGAAAAGAGAAAGTTTCACACATTCATATATTTTTTTCTTTGCACTGGGTGGAATCGATCAATTTTTGGGTCTTGATTTTTACTAAGTTAGGGGTTCAATTTGGGGATATCTTGGAAGGGGAAGTGGTGGGAGAAGAAGAAATGACAATATTGACGGAGGAGAAACGGCGCGTTGTAGGCAGTGACAATTTTGTAATTTAAAGAGTTGACCAAATAGCGTTAGAGTCAAAATTGACAAAATTTGAATGAAAGGGCAGTATTGGGAAATTGTATAAGTACAAGGGGTAAATCGATAAAATTGAGGGTACAAGGGGGTAAAATGACTCTCCTGTACGAGGGGGTAAAGTGGAATTTACCCATAATTTTATTTTTTTGTATGCAAAGAATTTATCAACATAAATTTCCATTCCTTTATTTATGTGTAAATATAAAAATAAAATAAAAAATCCAAATTCCTAGTCAAAACTTTCTTGGATATCAAGTCTTGGAAGCTCACAGCGTTTTCTTCACACACACACACACACACACACACACACACACACACACACATATATATATATATATTTGCACCAATATATATATATATATATATAACCGACATTTGGAACTTGCTATTCAATTTCAAACCCTAACATTAGTCTTTCTCAAAAATTTCCTTTCACCTTTCGGATTTCAATTTTCAACAGCAACTTAGCTAATAGGTAACTTCTTCTTCCTCTCCCTTTCTAATTGTTGAATTATACCGTGTTGTTCTTCGTACAAACTCGTTGATTTGATGCTTCATCAGTAGCGGATGGGGGTTCCGATTCGTTCCATTAATTGAGCTGTGGTAGGATTTTTTTTTTTGAAATTTTAAACCCTAATTTTCATAATTGGGGTTTTGTGATGATTCTGGCGGCAGCTCTGAACTGAATTTGTGATTTTGATTGTTTAGGGCAGAAATTGTAGGAATATAAGTAAAAATAAATTGCGCGCGACGTTTTATCTTGTAAATTCAATTTTATGTGGAAACACAGTTGAAGCTGTTCATAGTTCTGGGAATGGAGTTGTTCAATTGATTCATCTATGTTTTGGCGATTGCTTGGATTTTCTTTTTTGTCCTTTAAATCCTGTTAATATCTATTGAGAAGAAATAATGTCAGAAGAATAATTTAAGTCGAAAAGAAAATATACCCGATGTTCGTTTGTCCTAACTTGTTGGGTGTCAAAAAGTTCGTAAGCTATCTGTTCTGGATATATTGATGGATTTTGCTTGCCCTGTTTCTCTTCCAGATGGCAGCTAAACCCCTGACTAACGAAGCAATTGCGCTCACCGAGAAGAAAATGGATATGACATTAGGTATGCTGTATTCATATGAGAAATCCTGTATTCTGATTTACTCTATATTAGGAAATTCCGTTTTGATATATCTTATTTACTCCTTCGATTTTTTATTCAGATGAAATCATTAAAATGTCAAAGAGTGATGGTACAAAGCCTAAGAGAGTTTCGGTGAGATGACCCCTTTTAACACTTCTTGTTTACTTGGTTACTTGATATCCATTTTTCAACGTCTCATTGTAATAGTTTTAAATTGAACCTTTCAGAATCGAGGTCAAAAATTTGTTGACTATGCTGCTCGAGATAAATCTTCCAAATCCCGGACGTTTATGGACACACGATCATCTCTTAGACAGGTATGTAGCAAAACAAAAGAAATATAGTCAATCTGTTCAAGTCAGTTTTCGGTTCCCATTTTTCTCTGTGTCCCTTTCGTTTGTTTTATTTTCCTTTTGAAGTAGCATAGTTTTTACCTGATATATTTCATATGATGATGTGGCAGGGAGCTCTTGCTCGAAGGAGGTCAAACTTTCAGGGGAACCAAAACTTTCAGGGAAACCAGTTCCCTTTGGCAACGGAGGCTGCTAGAAAGGCTGCTGTTGCTCCAATTCGCAACAGACCTTTTAATCGAGGCAGACAATTCAATGTGCACAAACCAAGGTACATCATTGTTTAAACATGGCAATTGTAGTTTTTAGTTGAAGAAAGTGATATTGCTGAAAGTGAAAAAATAGTTGACGTTGTAGCTTGTTCCGAGTCTATATTAGTGGGATTAATGATGATTTGGTTTGGTACAGGTAATGTGGTCTTTTGTTGTTCACTTTGCCTTGTCCTCAGCTTGTGTACTTTCAAAAGCATGAAGTTAATCGGCATATTGTTTGGGGAGGGAGATGTTGGGGTGCACCTAAGATGTCATGTTGTGAGGTTTCACTGTACACGTAAAAAGGATGCAACTATATTTATAGTAGTCCTCCTGGAAGTTGGTTTCTAATGCATGCATACAGAAAGTTTAGAGTTATATTGTGGTTGTCTGTGAAGCCAAAGAAAATTGCTCTGCCGTCGAATAATTGGAGCATAGATCATTGAAGTTCAACTGTGAATAGTGCTAGTAACTGCATAATTTATTATTTTGGTGGTGCATCTGTTTGGTTTTTCGGTCCAAGTAGATCAATCTCAAATATCTTGTACACTCGTTGTTCGAGACCTTTTTGAGATTATGATATCTAACTGGAAGATCATTGTCAGTTGCTTCATTTTGAAAAATTGACTTGTATGAAGGTGTGATCTATTGGATGATTCTCTTGAAATTGGTAGCTTCAAAATTGTTCCATTTACCTGATTGGTTTCTCGTCGTGTGACAAGATTTTGCAATCATAAGGAACAACTAAGTGGGATGATTGTTTGATTCTGGTGTTCGATGGAGCCTAAAACAATCTGTCTGTTTTCAACATCTCAACCATTTAGTTCTGCTAGAATTCCATTCAGTTTCGCCGTCCTAGGTTTTACTCGCGGGGGGTCGTGTGTTGATGGTTTTAGTAAACCAAATTGTGTTTCACAGGGTGGCAATTATGTTTGTTGCGATTGGTCTGGTAATGTGAAACTTACAAATGATGGCCAATTGGAGTCCACACAGGAGACTGGATATACATATCAGATATTGACTTCTCAGTAGCTTGAAGTGGCACTTGTATTCTTCATTTGAAAGTTGTCTCCCAGAAGCCTACGAAAGATTTTGGTCTTTCTGATTGGATCCACCATTCACTCGTTTATCTCAGACCGTTTTAGTAAATTTTCATAGGCTATTGCGCACATCGCCTTTGGTCCTGGTTTGGTTTATTTTGTACAGTTGGTTTTGAACTGCGAGATGCAAGCATGGCCGTTGAGTTTGAACCCGGAATTATATCAGTTTTCCAACCTTCTATTTCCTGGTTAATATTATATCTGACTAATTTTAATATCAATCTTCAATATTTATTTCTTATGTTGGTGCAGCTTTGGGGGCCAGGCTGTCAAAAAGGTTGCTGCTAATGGAGGTGGCTTTACTGTGAAGGTAACACATTCTTGATATTCTATTCCGAGTAATTAGTCAGACAGTATATAATTGGCTAGCAGTAGTATATATTTGCAATGTTTACACCTGTGAATGAGTCATGCTTATGTTTTGTTGTGCGCTGTCTCAATTTTTCTGTCGAATGGGTCCTGTTCAGAATTTTATCGAACCCCGGTAATTTTGGATTAAATTGATTTTTTGTGATACTATGGATTTGCAGAAGCCATTGCAACAAGGCAATGTAATGCCGAAGAAGAAGCCTACTCAAACCCTAGACTCTCGTTTTGCTAACATGAAGGAGCAAAGGATGAAGGGATTATCTCAACAGAATAATGGACAGAGAAATGGCGGTGGCCAAGCTGGAGTGCCATGGGCAAGAAATCGTCTTCGCAATTGATAGTATCGATACTCGATAATCTGTTACGGCAAATTCTACATTTAGTCTTTGAAGTCTGTTTACTGGTACAATCTTTTATATTCAATGGTATTTGTACAGCTTTTTCATTGTGATTTCGGAAAATGTGACAAGTAAAATTTGTTGTAATTTGCAAACGGATGTTCTCTGATTTACGAGAATTTGGTTTTCATATAATCTACGCGCAACTCCCTTCAGGTTCGGTATTCGCTATTTTCACCCTTGAACAAGGCATCAATTAATATTTATCTTAACTAAAACTTGAATTTAAACTATTTAAATGAATATTTTTATTTTGACTAGAATATTGTTTGTTAAGAGGAAATAATAATAATAGAAAATTCATTGTTATTACCAGAAGAGGGCGAAAAAAGGAAAACAATAAGCCATGCCAAAACAATCTTTATTATTAACTGATTGAGAATTTAAATGTCTTGGGATTTATTGACTCCTCTTTTCAGTTTTAAGACAACCTCAAAAAAAAAAAAAAAAAAAAAAAAAAACATTTCCACTGTCATAATAAAAATACAGAATACCATTGGCAATATCTGCCTTAATAATAATAATAATAATAATAAACTCTTCTTCTCCACAAAATTAATCAACTGCTAGATTCATAACCATATGGATTCTTGCTAGCCCAGTTCCACTGGTCTCTGCACATCTCGTCGACCCCGTATTTCGCCCTTCGCATTAAATCAAATTAAATCAATTACTTCTTTAGGCAAAAAAAAAAAAAGAAAAAAGAAAAAAGAAAGTCGAGAAACAGTTTAGAAATTAAAACTTACTTCCATTTCAACTCCTTTTCAGCTTTGTCGGTTTCAGCATACACGATCTCAGCATCACCAGGTCGACGAGCAGCCGTCACCAATGGAATTTTCTAGACCACAAGTATTTTGAGTCAGATATATTTATATAAAAATTACGAGTCATTTAATTTCTACATAATAATAATCTAAAAGTAAAAAAAAAACGGATAATTATTTCAAGAACGTATATACCTTCCCAGATGCTTTCTCGAAAGCTGCTACCATTTCCAAAACGGAAGTACCTTTCCCTGTCCCGAGATTGTACACCTCACAGCCTGCTCGTTTATATTTCACACATATCATCCAAGTTAACCATTAATATTAATTGTTCAAATAAATAAAAAAAAGAAAATCAAAATAAACCAATTTAACAGGCACAAGGGAAATAAAATTGATCAAGTCAATCGTATTAGAAGATGCTTTCCAAGAGACACTTCGACATATAAAAAAAAGAAAGAAACTTCGATATATGATTCTGCAAAAACAAAATAATAAAAAAAAACAAAAAAAAATGGGGGTTTGGAAGTTTTGATTGGAGTTACATCTCTTCTATTTAACAGTATCGAATAAATCATAATCGGGAGAAATACGATAATCGGAGATCATACCTACAGAAGGATCAGAGAGCTTGTTCAAAGCAGCGATATGACCATCTGCTAAATCCACAACATGGATATAATCACGCACCTAAAAAATACGACACTCGATTAAATCTCCACGAGGTGCAATTAAGACCAATAAACGAAACAAAATTAAAGCAACTGAATTATCCTAATCTGGGATCTTGATCAAAAGGTACACACTAACCCCAGTTCCATCCTTAGTTCCGTAATCAGTCCCGAAAACAGTAAGCGCAGGTCGCCTTTGAACAGCAACTTGTTGAACAAAGGGCATAAGATTGTTCGGGATGCCACGTGGATCTTCACCGATGTAGCCACTCGGGTGGGCCCCGACTGGGTTGAAGTACCTAAGCAAAATGATTTTCCACCTCGAGTCTGACTGGTATATGTCGCGGCATATCTCCTCGATGAAAAGCTGCGGTATTTATTTATATTTGTTAGGCTAAATATCTTATATACGAGTTCCGTTTTTTAGAATATTTTTCGCTATAATGGCTTTCAAAGTACCTTCGTTCGTCCGTAAGGATTCGTAGCACTGATTGGAGACTCCTCGGTGCACGGAACAACTTTAGGCCAACCGTACACGGTAGCTGACGACGAAAACACGAGCTGAAAAATCAAGGAATAAAATCAGTTTTAAAAAAATAAAAGAAAACATTCTCGAAAACTAAATATAGGGTTGTGAAAAGTACTTGTTTACATCCATGGGCAGCCATGACTTCGAGCAGCACAATCGTACCGATAAGGTTATTATCGTAATACAACAACGGCTTCTGCACGCTTTCTCCGACTGCTTTTAGTCCAGCAAAATGGATAACAGCTTCAAACCTATATTTAAATGCAGCGTAAGAATCAAATACGTAAACATAAAAAGAAGTTGAATGAAAAACGGCAAAACGTGAGATCTAGCAAAACAAAGATTATTACTTTCTCAGATGAAATCTCGTGTAACGAAACTAAATGTAGCTTGTTCTTTGAGGGTTGAAATGAAACAAGTATACAACATAACTAAACGAAACTTACTTTTCGGAAGCGAAAAGCTTCTCGAGTGCGGGCTTATCACGAAGATCGATCTGCAATTGACCGAAAATCATAGAAATGAAAGTTAGATAATTTCTCATCGGAAAATATACACTAAATATGTGCGGCGTTTTATAGATTAGAAGCTGATAAATGTATATTAGCAACGGAAAATCGAACTTAGTATATCACTTTAACATCACCTCAATTATCTAACAAGAAATTGGATAATCGACACCCAATACCCAATTAACGGTGTCATTACTTCAGATCACTAAGCAAAAACCAACTAACATGATGACAAAATTTCGAGATCTATTCGAAGAAAAATAAATGTAGATCAATGATCAAACTCATCATCAGATTTAATAATTACACCTAAATAAAGATCAAAAATCACAAGGAAGAAATAAAAATTAAAACACAGAAAAAAAAAAAAACCACAAATCAGATTCACAAAAAATCCCCCCACTCAAGATCGAATCTTTTCACTCCGGAATCACAAATTTGACAAAACCCAGAAAAAAAAAACAAAAAAAAAAAAACCTTGTGAAATGAGAGGTTGGAGCCGTGTTTGCCGGCGAGTTCCTGAACCCTCTTGACGGCGATTTCGGAAGAGTTGTCCAAATTATCAACGATCACCGCCTTGTATCCGCCGAGGAGCAACTGCAGCACGGTGTGGGTCCCGATGTAACCAGCGCCGCCGGTGACAAGTATACTCGACGACATGTTTTCCGATGAAAAAAAAAACAGTGCAATAAATTTATCGAGAATTGATTTCTTGTACGAGGAGGAGTGAGAGATTGGAGAAAGAGAGAGCGAGTGAGCTTGTGTATATATATATGCAAAAATACAAATTGAATCCTGAATACAAGAAACTAGTATTAGGTCCACAGCATTTGTTTTTTATTTATTCAATTATTTTCAAGATTGTAGCTTTTTTTTTTTTTTTCTTTTTTTTTTTGGGTGGGTGGAAGAATCTATTGAAAAAAAAATATATTTTGGGGAAAAAATGAGATGGATCACGTGAGATTGGAGATCGTTGTCTTATTTTATTTTTTATTATTAATTTTTTTTTTCAAAAGAAATTCGAATTCGCTACTTGAATACACCATATAGTTTTACACTATTGATCTACACGTAATAATAAATACTTATGTGTATGTGTGCTTAGCAATGCTGTTAGAATCGGACCGAATCGGCCGGTCGGACCGGTTTGACTGTGACCCAGCGATAAAGCGGTCCGATCTACATCTAAAACCGGAAAAATTAAAAATCGGGTCAAAGGACCAAAATCCGGTTCGATCAGGTAAAACCCGAGAACCGACGAGTCAGTTAAGAAACCTGATTTTGGGCCAAAACGTCTCGAATCACCGCTGAGTTGGTTATTTGTGGCTAGATTTGAGCGAATCTTCACAAACTTAGTAGTGGGCGACCGGATCTAGTCATGAGTGATCGAAGGATTGTCGGATATGATCATGAGTGATCGAAGAGGGGTGGCCGATTGCCGGATTTGAAGAATAAAAAATGAAAAAATATAGAATATAAGCAATAAAATATAGTAAAAAGTGATGTGAAGTAGATAAAAGTGAAAATAATAGGTGAGAGATTAAAAATATAAAGAAAATAATATTTTTAAAATATTAAAATTAATAAAATAATAACATATCAAAAAAATAAAAAATATGGTTGAACCAATTCAACCCTATAAACCCATGACCCAAATGGTCGTCCGGTTCTATAGCCAGTTCGGTTATGAAAATTTTAATACTTAATATGTAATTATTTAGGTTGATTTATAATTTAAAAATTAAAAATTATATGATGTATTTCACGAGATGTAGGCTCTCATAATGGAGTGTATTCGTATTAAACTAAAATATGTGTGACACATTGAATTAAAAAAATAATTGTAAACAAATTCAAACTCCGGTCAAATAATATCGTTCTTTCTTGCTCATCATTTAAATTACCCCTTTTTCCTTTTTTAATCAACAAACGTTATGGATTTGTTCTTCTCTTAGTGGGTAGGTGGGTCAACTTTTAAGTATATACTAATATTAGCGGAGCCATAATTTTAAGTTCCGGGGATCAGAATACATTAGAAAAGATTATAGCGAGACTGTTAATATACATTTTTTTTTAATATTTATATATTAAATAATAGGAATTTGAGAAATGATAAGGGGGCGATGGCCTCTCCTGACCCTCTGATGGCTCCGCCATTGTATAGTAATGAAATCTACGAGGTAAAATATATATCATTAATCTACACATTAACACAGTTTATAATTTTTGCTTGAAAATAAAAGCTAATAATATTACATCCGATGAATATTCATTGTGTATATGATTATAATATGTCAACATATATTTTCTATTTTTTGTTTTATTTATTTAAAATAAATCTTGATAGGATAATAAAACTCAATAAAGAGTATAGGATAATAAGGAATACAGCATATTTATGACGGTTTTATCACAAGATTGAGGTTCGGATTCATCAGATATTCCAATCTCAATCTACTTTGAATAAATAATTTGAAGAAACATTTTTTTTTTCTTTATTCCAAAGGTAAGAATCCCTTTATTTTTATTTTGTTTCTTTTGAAAGAAAAGAATATTTAAAGATGGTGAGTTTTGGAGTATCGTTTTCTTTTTCTGCAGACTGCTGTTAAAATTTAAATACTACTGGTAATATTTTAGTGGGACATATAATTTATAAATTTTAATATTAGTATAAGACTAAAACATTTAGTGAAACTTAGAAGGGTGACAAAATATTTTATAATATAATTTCCCACATTTCAACAAGTTTCTCACTCATTAAAATCTTGATCCAATCAAAAAGTTACAAAAAAGAAAATAAAGTAAAAATAATAAGACAGGAAAAATAGAAGGAATGAAGTTTCCTACCAAACATAATAAGTGGTAACCCCACACATCAAGATTGCTTGCGATTCTGGTCAGATTGTCTGATTTAGCTCCTAATTATGATAGGTTCACAAGGGTTTATTACATGCTATATTATATTATATATTATCGATTAGGCCCGTTTCTGGCCCCTAGGCGAGTTTTAAGAATTTATAAAAATCAAGAATTTTCGAGAAAATATGACTCAATTAAGGTAAATCAAAAGTTTACGCGGTTCAGGGGCCCGAGGCGACCGTCTCTCGGCTGTAGTCGGCCTGATTATCGAACCTCACCGAGTAATATTCAATCGCACATATTTTACACACATTCACAAGTACATGTGGATGGTTGTGTTTGGATCTAAACTGCCTATACTATCAGGCCAAGGATAAGTATAGGCATATATTTAAGGAAATGTGCTCAATTTCGAGAACACTCGATTATAATAACACACCGAGATATGTAATCGTAACACTATATGAAGAAAAAAAATCATTTACAATTTCTTTTTTTTTAGGTAGATAAATAAAAAACATGCAATAAGTACAAAAATATGCTCTGAAGTTCTTCACCTGTCTAAAAAGCCTGGTCAGCAGGAACCGGCTCTGAACTAAGAAGCCTTTCCGCTTCATCGTTTGCCTCAACTTGCAATCTCCATTTCTGCAACGAAAAACGATGACCGAACAAATGTCACTAAAAGCGAAATAGTATTCCAAATTAATCACCATCTTCTGTTTATCGGTGTTTGAATTGCATTTTTTTTTATTGTTTATTGAAGTGAATACGAAATGATAAAAACATGCCTCTTCAAGATTCTCGATTTCCATGATTTGCTCTATCTGTTCGGCTATATTTTCCTGCACGGAGGATAATAAAAAAAGAGAAACATAAACTCGTGGGCCATATCAAATCTGCATGATGTGAACAATAGTCGGCCGTACCGTATTTGTGACTGCTTCGGCAGCAATAACATCCAAGTCCAGTTCTACCTCGATTTCAATCATCGAAGAAATCTGAAAATTTTGTACAACATAATTATGCATTATTCATAGTCGAAAAAGAAATTCATGTTATTATGAAACGAATTAATAACAACATACTCTAGCATAGCTTTCGATCAGTTCAATGCGATTCTTGAGGGAACTCTCCAATCCTTCGCGGACCCTTTTGACTCTATTTCTTCTCGAACTGAATCAAAAGTGAAACAAGACGAATGAAATCAGTCTATTTACATTCCATTACTACGATTTCTGTTTTTACTGAAGTTGGGAAATCGGTACCCCAAAGGTTATATATACCGATAAGAAGGCTCTTCTCCAACAGCATAAATTTTGTTCTCCAACTGGCACATGCGAGCGAGCATCCAAACCTGTAGGCCGATATATTCATCAAGCATCACTAATTACAGAAATGCCATGGAATATTAACCACCAAGCTCTGTATGGCGATTATCAAGAATGCGGTTATAGAGAAATTCAAGAAGTAGTAATTAATTGCTAGAAATTCCATAATATTTCCAGCTGGCACCTCGTCAGAAGATGAAATGCTTAAAAAATTACTGATAATAGTTATAGCATAAAGTTGATCGATAATGAATATAATCAATAAAATCCGTTAATTTTCCATAGCAGTACCTCATTTTCAGCAGCCCTCTTCAACTCCTTGATTCGAGATTGAAGTACGTCGTACTGAGACAATAGCTGTTGCCTTATGGATGTTATATCAACTGTTCTTTGAGGAAGCTGTATTTGAGATAAAATTCAGACATAATCAAATTCCCAAGGCAGACAAACATTGCATTTCGGATTAAATAATAATCGGTACTTCAAAACTAAAATCCATTAAAAACTAATTTATATTAGCATGGAATATCTTCTGATTCCCGCTGCTAGCTTCAACAGTTCAAGCTCTCGCATGCACATGTGTGTAAACTTTCACGAAAAAAGGAAACTTCTCGAGGAGGAAAACAAAACAATACGGCAAAAACTAGTTCATCAACGAGACCTGCCTTGTTAAGCTGAGGAAGAACAAGTCTGTTAAAAGTGACACCCACGGCAAGTGAAGAAACTACAGCAACTGCAATCAACTGCGGCAAGCCAGGGTCGATTAGTCCAGAGGCAGCATCGCCAGTTGCACACACAGCAAGAATAGGAATCAAGGTAGATGGGATCAGCATAGATTTGGCCGCATCTTTAGGAGGCGCTCTCAATAATCGAGATTCTCTACCGTCTCTATGATTTGTCAGGCACATGGGCTCGCCTGGGTAGAAATCGGGAATTCTCGGGCTTAACTTTAGCGGGCCCACCTGTCTGTAAACAGTTAACGGAGCTGCTACGGAAACAGTTACTCTTTCTCCTTCTTGGGCAGGGAGATCAACTGTTTCAGTGGCAAACCTGTGAGTTCTCGCCATGCCAGACGGGGTCTCCACCTAAAGAGAGCAATAGTGATTTAATGATTTTGTTTAATTTAACGAAGCTTATCATTTCACACAAAGGGAAATCGTAATAAATCATAACCGAAGCAAAACCATGTACGTACCACAATGGAGTGAACGGCAGCTGGAATGTTGAGCTTCATTATTTGCAAGAATTGTAGGCCTCGTTTCCATGCAGGAACATCCATGCTGCGTTCGGTATGAGGAGATCCTTAGAACAAGTGAATATCCCAGGATCAACACCATATTCACGTGTACTCGTTTATTACTGACTAAAGCTAAAAAAAATAGAAATAACTCATTTCTTGGCTTGAAGTTAGATATGCAGAGGTTTTGGACATATTTTGGTCATTGTCTACGAAAGATTCTTCCCAATCTCAAAATCAGTTACAAGTGGAGATTAAACATATAACGAAACGGCAAGGAACTGAAGGAATACAAAGTGAAATGAAATAACCCACCTAATTTCTTCCGATTCTATGCTGAGAATGTTGCCTGAAACTAGTTCATACTGGTAGCGGCACTTTGAGCAAGACACAAGCTGCATATGGAAGTGCCCAAATTAAAGCAAACACAATGTGCCAAAAGAACAATAAACTTCAAAGTTTCTTTAGTGATGATAATTTTCGGGGAAAACGAAAAAAAAAAAAAAAAAAAAAAAAAAAGGTCAACCAACCAAGCACTTTTGGTAATGAATTTACAATGCAGATAGCCATACAGAAACAAATTCAATACTCATTCATTTGTGATCAAGTATGCTTCTATAATCCACCGTTCAGAGATTACTAAGAGTTAATATAAAATCTTAGTAAGATATGTGCCAATTGTTAGAGGATCGAACATAAAAACGGAATTGTATGAACATGCCTGAATTCCTTGTTGTGGCTGAGCGACAGCAACGGCTACCATACAACAAGGGCATCTCACCACTTTACCAAACGGAACCTGCAAAATGATCCTTACTGTTTGTTGGTCAAGAAACTAACATTTCGGGCATAAACAAGTACGGAAAAAAATTGTTATAAGTTACACTTCGGCAATAATCATAGCCATTGGCAGTGACAAGAAAGTCATATCGAGAATACCTCTTCACCAGGAGATACTCCCACTCGGCAAACACAGTCAATCATTCTAAGGGCATCTGAGACTTTTAGTGATGCTGCAAGACCCTTGACTAATAAAATATAAGTATGTACGTCCGGTCTTGACCACTTCCATCTCTCAACAGACATAGAACCGTCAACTCGACCTGGATCCAACCCACATGGCCAGAAACAAAAATCAAGAAACCAAAACGAAAAGGAAAAGTACACAAAAAAATTACAAATCATATACCCAAGCACTACATAGGTGAGTAGAACAATATTAAAGAAGGATCGAGAAATTTGTTAAGCATAATTCAAAGAAGGCCAGTAGTAAGGAAACTTCATCATTTATTTTTCGATTTGAACTTGTTGGGAGAGAGAAATGTGTTAGAAAATCTAAATGGAATTCATTATTGTCGTAGAAAACAATTTAAAACCCCATACTAAAAGCATTAAGCAGATTCAACTATGGGAGGATTTACTCTGCTACAATGACATATCCTACGTCAATACTACCATTCACCGAAGTCTTACTGTATGAACTTGTGGTTCGAGCAAAGTTAATCAAAGAAAGCTCGAAGAGCTTACAGGCGACCAATACGAATCGAAATTCGAATCCGACCTTACGTTATAGAGATCAAGAAAAGATAAATAACGAAGATAATTCCCCCCAGAAGGTTGTTTAAGAAACCAATACGTCAAAACTATCATTAAAAAGTCACTTAAAATCATATGATTCCCCATTAAACAGTTCAACAAGTTGTTCATCACTTTCTTCGTGTTATATTAAGAAAAATAAAGTGTAGCGCACTCAACCAGAAACCGCCTTTGGAAAAAAATCCATCGCAGACCGTTAATTTGGAAGTTTGTTTACCAGAGTCGAAGCTCGAGCGCATGGCGGAGAATACAGAGAGAGCCAGCTCAGCATTGCCACGATCAAGCGCCGCCGTGATAATCAACCGACAATCAGAAGGACTCACAACTCCGCCGCCGGAGGAGCAGCGCTCCGCCGCAATCGAAGACAAAACCTCGGCCGCATCTTTGGCGGCAGAAACCCGAACCAATAGCTCGTCGTCTAGAATCTCCGATTCCAACTTCCCTTCCTCAGGCGACGAAGACACCTGATTGGTGGCCGCCGCGAATAAATTCTTCGAGATAGGAGAGGGGCAAAACGACGGCGTACGGCTGGTTTTGGTTGGGAAGAGGAAGCAGAAGTGGTTGTGCTTCGGGGGGTGGTGAATGGGGAGCGGGAGTATAGGGGAAGAGCAGCAGCACGTGTGAAGATTCATTTATATTTATCAGAGTTTTCAGGGAGGAGAAAGCATTGAACAAAAATGTTAGAGAGAGAAGTAGCAGGTGTTTGGTGTGTGTGTGTGTGTGAGAGAGAGAGAGAGAGAGAGAGATGAGGAATGAATGGTAGGGAAGAAGATAACAAGAAAAAAAAAAAATTAAACAAAAAAAATGAAGGAAATTTGGAGGTGCGGGGAATCGAACCCCGTGCCTCTCGCATGCGAAGCGAGCGCTCTACCATATGAGCTACACCCCCGTTGATGAAAATAAAGATAGTATACTATAAATAAATAATAAACAAACAGATTAGGAAGAAAAAACACAGGAAAATGGAGGTGCGGGGAATCGAACCCCGTGCCTCTCGCATGCGAAGCGAGCGCTCTACCATATGAGCTACACCCCCGTAATTGGGAAATAAACAACTAATAAACTATTTGGTCGATAATAAATTTGGATAATGGGATCCGGAATGCAGATACCGATAGACGACTAATCCCATCACCCAAACACATGAATTATGGTTGGACCATGGGTCGGTCGAGTAATTATCGACGCGATCCAATTGCTAAATTAAATATGGGAAAGTGTTATCGACCTGACGACGTTTTTTTTTTTTATCAATTTGTTTAACAAGTTTTAATTGAAAAAGATAAAAGAACATATGTTGCGTACAAGGGCCACCCACATATATCATTCGACGTGAACGATTATCCAAATCTTCGAAATTAATTCCTATAATCTTATTAGGCTTCGGGGCCAAGATACAATGAACTATTATTGCGTATTGGTGATATATATTATATTACATTATAATATTATATTACAAAAATCTTAAAATATGATTCACATATATAATAATATATCATATTACATTTTGGATCAAGCTATTAAACGCCTATATATATGTACCTACCTTCCCCAAAGAATTAAATTAAATCAATATACATATTAGAATTATCGATCATTTGCAAATAAAAAAAAATCCGTTAGAATGAATTTGGTGGTAGTTTCTGCAATAGTGTTGGCGATGATGGTGATGATGTGTCCCCCTGAAGTTGGTGGACGAGAATCGGTACCTAACGAGATCGAAGATCCATTTCATTTCGATCTTGATCCATGTGTACTGATAGCTTGTCAAAATCTGTGCAAGATTGCCCTAGGTTACAATCATGTAAGAGACGCTCGTTGCTATGCTGATGATAGGGTTTGCGCTTGTTTTAGAAAGTTTTCGTAGTTGTATATACATATATATATACATGTAATATACGTATCATATATATACGTACATCAATAAACTTGTAGTATATAATATGTTTACATCTTTCTTTCTTGAACTGGGTCACAATCTCCATTCAGAATTTTTAGAAGCGTAAATTATTAACTCTAAAATCAATTTATCAGTTTATCATGATCACAACATGTTGGGTGGCCGTTCAAATAGCATTAATATTACAGACCTTTAATCAAATGAATTACACAGATTAATAAGCCTAAGGGGAAGGGGATTAAGACTTAACAAATAAATTACAGAAATAAATAATAATAAGAACGAATCTGGGGCAGATCGAAAATCTGCCCGTTTTCGGCTCCGGCGGAGAAGATGACACAGCAACGGCTCAGTCCTCGTTTCCCGTGTCCACGTCCGGAGTCCAGTCGGCGGCAGCCAGCACACTCCCGGTGTCAAGCTCACAGATCCACGCCCAGCAGTCAGAACATCATCCGAGTGCTCAGATCTCAGCCTCACTCCGACTGTAGTCTCAACCCAACCCAAAACCCCAACGAATCGAACTCACACACACAGTGTTTCCCCAGATCTGGTACCCTCACTCACAGAGGTCACGAAACCACTCACCACAGAGAGGTTTAAGACAAGAAGGTAGAAGATGGGAAGATTTCGTTGTTCTCGTTGTTTTCGTTGTTTTCTTCGTTGTTCTCTTCATCTTCAAGAAGAGATGTTTATATACTCGTGCAGCTGCAGCAAGAAAGGAAAGAGAATCGACCGAATCTCCGACCGCCATGGAAACCGGCGAGAGATTCGGCCGTCGAGAAGAGAGAGAAGAGAGAGGTGCAGCTGCTAGGTTAGGGTTTGGAGGCTTTGTGAGAGAGAAGATATATATATGTGGCATGGATGGCTGAGATCGAGACTTATCAATCAACGGTCCAGATTGACTCTGCTTGGGCTTTAAGTGAACTGCTGGGCCGACACCAAGGGAGTGGGCTGCACAAGGTGGGTTAGCAGTTTTGGGCCAAATAAACATTTGGGCCCCTTTTATCTAACAATCTCCACCTGGGCCCAAATGGACTATCGGGACAAAATTGGGATATGAGGTCATCATTGCCGTTTTAAATGTACCTGCACCATAAAACACGAAGTCAGCAACGTACATTAAGAAATTAATCACACAGATTAAAAAAATAGGGGCAGTCACGAAGACAACCCTTTAATTACACACAGTAATTAGGATTGAGAGATTAGGCTCAAGCTTTTCAAGCAAGAGCGAAACTTCTCGAGTGGTAGACACTTAGTACCCATATCTGCTGGATTAAATTGTGATGGAATTTTTTCCAGCTTGATAATACCCTGTTTCACAATATTACGAATAAAGTGATACTTAATCTCAATGTGTTTAGTACGATCGTGGAAAACCGGGTTTTTACATAATTGAATTCCTGATTGGCTATCCGAGAAAACAGTGACATCCTTTTTAAGAAAACCAATTTCGCGCAGAATGCCTTTA